CCAATAACGCTCTGTTAAGATTATAAGGCAAACAAATTGAGACCCGTTCTCAGTGCTGACTTCACACAAACCCCCCTTTCTACTTCCAGCAGCCCACCCTCCTGAGTGTCACAGTCCGCGGCGCAGAAAGGCCACTGAGACCCGAGAAGAATTTGTGAGAAATTGACATGCCAACTTACACCGTTTTCGGTCACCTCGTGATACAATAGATACTGCTGCCCTGGAACCAGTCCAGAGAAGAGCCACCAGAAACGTTCTGGGACTTAAAGGAATGTCCCGCGCTGACAGGCTGAAGGACCTGCACCTTGCGCAGAGAAGGCCGTGAGGGGACCTGACACAAGTCTTCAAAGCCTTCACGGGCGCTGACAAGGTGAGCCCAGCGCACGTCTTCAGAACAGCGAAACTCAATCCAGAGGACACAGGTGCAAACTACGTGGAAGTGCATTTAGAATCCCAAACAGGGGGTACTGCTTTAACCAAGGGGTTACGGGGACATGGAAGAAGCTACACAGCCAGTGTTGCTGCAGCCGATACCGCAGATTCCTCCAAGAAGTGGCTGGACGAGATCTTCGGATTACCTGGCAACTACCGCACAGGCCAGCTGGTCTGGAAGGCCCACACTCTCATTTCTTATGTTCTTATTGCTAGATAAAACTGTTACAGTGGCAATCACGGGGCATCTTCGGAGTCGGATAAACCACGTCTCTGCCGGACGTTAAAACAGAATGTGCGCCTGCCCGTGAGGCAGCCCGAATTTATTTAGAAGTGCGCTGGTCAGTATGTTGACACACTGGGAGAGCCTGTCGTTGGAACACAGGTGCACAGCATGCAAGAGCCAGCTCCTGCCAATCACCTGACCTCCCAACAGGGCGGTCTGAGAATAAACCGAGCCAAAAGCCTCAGGTCCCAGGCTGCTTCACAGGGCCTACCTAAACCAGTGTGGTGACCAACTGTGTACTGGTAACGCAGGCCAGGGTAGGACGGAGTTATCTCTTCAAGCCAACGTCTCAATAACACAGGCCAGTTATCGACGGGGACGGACTGTAGTTACTTAATTGTATTAATTTGCCTGTTGTTTTTAACCAGCGTGGCTCCTGTTCATGCCCATTAATTCAAGAGGGTGAGTAAGGCCAGCAGTGTGGCGTGGTGGTTAGCGCTCTGTATTCATAGCTAGAAGGTTGTGGGTTCGAATCATGGTGGGCACACTTCTGCTGTGCCCTTGAGCAAGGGGCTTCACCCGGATTGCTCCTCTAAAGCACCCCGAGGCACAAATAGAAGCCACTTTATCTCACCAGTAGGCAAATTAATAAAGATAATTAAGTAAAACACATGCCTGTCAATAACTAGCCTGTGTTATTTAGAGGTCAGCTTGAAGAGATAACTTTGTCCTGTGTAATGGAACTGCACTGCCATTACACAGTTCAGCACAGTGGTAAAGTCGTTGTTTAGCAAACTCTTATTTTTATTGTAGAGACATTCAGGTTGCGTTTCGCTCAGCTGTGTGGTGCAGCCTGGCACAACAGGCAGGTGGACAAGCACTGTGCCAGGCAGTTCCTTCTCTGAGCCAGTCTCATGTCTCTTTACTGATCCCAGAGCACAACCAGGGGATAAAGTTCTGCATGCTTACAGTTCCCAGAGTTACTCACAGTGTGAAAACTGTGACCAATCCAGATCCATAAAGTGGATAAAGACTTAAAACACAAGAGGACAGAGGGAATGGAATAGCACGATGAGACAGTTTAATCCATGCGGTACACTATCACCGCAGTCTTCCTGGTTGGCATATTGCACATCGTGGATTAATGGCTTCTTGTATCAGCTACTGCTGATAGACAGCATTCAGTTCTTTAAGGAGTTAAGTTTCTCAAACAGAAAACAAATGACTCTCTATAGCACAGGCGTAATCACACAAGAAAGAACTGTGAAAAGAGTTTTGAAAATATTTAAAGCTACCAAAAAATAGCAGACATTTTTTTAACTTACATTTTATGTATATGTTTCCACGGTTTGCCATGCTAACAAAATCGGAACTTGAAGCGACACTTTTTTTTCTGGAGGTACTGTTCGGTGTGACGTTTTCATTGATGCAGATGAAAGAGTCTGGTTTTAAGGAGAACAATTAAACTAAAATCAACAGTTCCCAAGCGTACCTTTTACATGTTTGGAACAGTTTGAAGTTCTGCCCTGAATGTGTGAGTTGTAGGCTCTGCGGACACCTCAGTTCACAGAATCGGATTTCAGTTTTGAGTAGCAGACAGTCTTCTCGCCATATGGCAGTTGAAGACACATGGGAATCTTTAATCAATACTAGAAAACACATTCTTCTAAGGTAGTGTAATTAGGAAAAAACTATCTCTTTATTGCAGTCCATCCTACAATTAAAATCACTGTATCTTAAAACAATGTCTACCACAATGTCTACCACACCTTAAAAGAACTGATGTCAAAGACAAGCGGGGTAGTTACACACTACTTTTCTTCACATTTATAGACCGAGATTTAGGTTAAAAAATATGCTTGATCTGTAACAGTCGTCAGGATACGTAATACGTAGGATTTCTCTTTAATTGTTTAAAAACGTGCGATTTCTGATGCACTTCAGACATTGTATTTGGAACGGAATATGAATATCAATATCACTTCGTTTTTGACAGAAAGAAAACAAAGTTTCGTTGTTTTTTTATCCCAATAGCCAAATCAATGTCGCGTTTTAGCAAATCTACGCGAAAGCCACGATACAAGCACTCTGTGCCAGCAAAACATATACAGATGAATAAAAAGTCGCACGTTACACTTCGCACTGAAAACAAAACTTCAAAATTAGCTTTCTCAGCAAGACAGTAGTGTCAATTTTATAGTCACAAGCTGACCTGCCGAACCAGACACGAGGCCTTAGGTTTTGTGGTTTCTACCACAGACTTAATATCGACGGTTTACCACGGTTGTATATCTCAAAACCCGAATATCCCTTTGGGCGCTCAGTTACAGTTCGTTTTAAATGCGTGTTAGCCATCCTTTTCCTTAGTTATTTGTTATATCTTATCTTCCATGCGTTACTTAAATACCTTGTTATTTCGCTGCTGGAAACCACAAGATAGGTCTGACAAACCGAGTCACTGTTGACCTCTTGTGGTAGGGTCACCTATCTGCAGGTGCTGAACAGGTCGTAATGTGGCCAGGTTGCAGAGCTCTTCCGACATTAGCAGGATTTTGTTTTTTTTTTTATTGCACGTCAGATTTCTGCTGCGTTTCAAGCCCTTCTCGTTGAATTTAGAAGGGAATATCCAACCGCTGTCCTGCACGGTCCCCGTGCTTTTATTTCCTTTGGCGCTAGTTCGTGATGCTTTTGGACAAAATGCACCTGCGTCTGCGACCATTACAGATGCATGATGATCCCCAGCTCTGTTGTGTTGCTCGGCAATGTCTTTTTTCGGCCCCTCAGATCAGAGTTTGAACGTGTGTAGCCATCCACCACGGAGCCTCGGCCCCCTGCTCAGCGGTGGGAACACCTGGTGACTGCACCAGAAACACGGGGCACACACACGGACAAACCTACAGACATCAATAAACTGGTCAAGCAGGCCCCTGGCAGGTAAACGGAAACTGAGGGACCCATAGAAAACCCATGCTGCCCTGTGAAGAACGTGCAAGCTCCACACATAAGGAACCACAGCCCGGAATTCAGCCACGAACTGTAAGGTCACCCGTGCACCACTGTTCAAACTGAAAACGCCTTCCTCAGACATCAACACGCTGTGGAAATACTGTTAATAATTTTCAAGACAAGAGGTTTTTTTTATAAATAATTTATTACTGATATTCCAAGATACATTATTGCGAAGGTTTGTGATTTTTTTACAACCTGAAATAACCTGTCATCGTGTTATATTATCAGACATTGATTCATCGCGTGTTTGGAGTCAACATTCAGCAGATGAAGTGTTTGGAAAATATGAATATTGACGTAAAACAGTCTTTTTTGGGAGAAAAGGTGTTATGCACGAAATCAGATAAGTAAAGAAAAAACGTACAAACGGTTCATCTAGAGTCTCTAGTCTGTTTTCTGGGTTTCGGCGCTAACCATAACAAGCCAATGTGTTAAGGTACCAAAACGTTGTAGCCAAGACTGGAACTTACATGGTAAGATTTTTTTCTTGACTGAAATTTAACAACAACAAAAAAAAAACGAGTCTCTTTTGTCTTCTGGGTCGCGTCCCCTTACCTTCAAAAACAGCCACCTAAAAATAAGACGCCTCTACTGCGTTATTGCGTGCTCGTCCTGTTGCCATCGCCCAATTCCCTCCCCCGTCCTCTGCCTGCCTCACCTCTTTAACGAAGGGCTCTCAACTGCTACAATACATGAGAGTCCGGCGAAGAACGCACCGGGGAGAACACGACCTCCAACACTGGTCCCAGCAGCACCCCAGTCTAACACGGAATACGGGCAGTGTAGCACACGCTCCCAGCGGACTGTCACCGAGTCCCTCTCTCCCCCAGCCCCTGTCTTAACGTCTTGGGTCTTCTGGTCCTCTCTAGTGGGGTCTGGGGGAGCTGTTCTCTTATCTTTGACCCCCCGTGCCCTGTCTACTGCTCATCAGCCGATTCAGTCCAGAAACAGACGATGAAACTGAGCGGGGGGAGGGTTGTCTGAAGCTACAGTAGATAGTGGCATTTTCGAAACAGCGGTTTGCTACAGTTTTTGACCGGACTTGCCGGCCCCGTGTGAACGCACGCTAGTGTGCTCAAAACGGATGCGCAAGGCAGGGAAAAGGTAACAAGCTCTTGCGTTGCTCGACCAGACTGTTTCAAATCAATTGCAGTGATAATGCCACTGCGTGTTAAATAAACTCATGTGCAATGAAAAATGATAAAAAATAGTTTATATATAGGCTCTAAGGCAAATATTACAAGCGAAACTGTAAAACATATTTGGTCGTCTGTACTGTAAAATATTGTTTAGTTACCAAAACAGCTATTAGAGCAACTGGATTGTGAAAATATAATACAGGGAATCTGTAGATAAACGTAGAGCTTTACATAGAATTAAATAAACAAAACAGAAATGAACACAACGATGTTTAACAGCAAGTAATTAAAAAAAAACAACGAAAATTAAAATCACTTCAGTTCCGGGAGCTACATGAAATTCCACCTTTGTGTCTGTGTCTATAGTAGTCAGAAACGGCTTTGTTTTCGCTCAAACAAACGTTTTTGGAAATTCTGCAGTTTTTTACAAACGGCAACACTGAAGGTAATGCGCGGTCGGGCCTGTAGGGGCGCCGTTGGCCAGGACGTCCCCCCCGGCACACTGGGAATGTTGTGAACTTTTTCTTTGTTATTGTCCAGGCCGATGCCTTTTGAGTTCCTCTCGTTCATTTTCAGTTCTCATTTTGAGATTTCATAAACGCGCAGTCCTTTCTAAATTTGCCACAGCCCTAGTTTCTAAAATCAGATCTCTTATAGTGATACAAGTGTGTACCCAGCAGTTCAATAGGCTTCCAAGGTAATAGGTGTGTTACAAGGCAGTGATTTCAAGCTATCTGTACAGTCTAATGAGCTGGCAGTGAAAGCACCAGTTAACCTTTTAATGCTACTAGTATCACCTGCAAGAAAGACTTCAGTTCATGTAATAAATATTAAATGTACATCGGTATAATTCTTACCGGAGGCCTGAATGTTAGTTTCTCAGGGTCTTTCTATTTACTCTGCCATGATTATCCCATGATTTGCACTACATTTTACTGTGGGCTAGAGGAAAGAGCGCCACCTACTGGTCCGCCCACACCACTTGCTGCACCCCTGGTCCTGGAGCAACACTATCTCTGCCGGTTTCCCTTGCGGCTGAACTCTAAAACTACCGTGGTAACTGATGAATTAAGTGATCAGCTTGCTGGTTCAGGCTGCTGTTTCACTTGGTCATTTCTTCCCTGTCATAAATATCTGACTTCAAAGGGGCTCCGCTGCACAGACTCTCCTCTGCTTGATTTCTGGCTGAACTGTTAAGATCGTACCGGTCGATGGATTCATGCCAGGCCCAGACACGCCCATGATGAGTGTTTTGTCCATTTCAGGGTCCCCAAACCCAGAAATCGGTATTGGAATTGATACCCAATACAAATTCCATTTGGCCTTTTAAGAGATAAAATGAAATTTACAAATAAGCCCTCAACAGAAATCAATGAGCCCATGAGTAAGATCTCAGGTGTAGCATAAACAAGTTCCTCCAGGACCAGGGTTTGGAATCACTGGATGATCACAGCAAGTGCTAATTTGGGAAGCTGGATCCACTCCTGATTCTCGGAATCATGAAGGTTCCCTCTACTCTACCACTGAAGTTACAGGTATGAGCAGAAAGGCAGCCTTCGGAGATCTCATTGCTTTCTAAATAAAACAGATAGAAGCATCAATATGAAGGGCCTCCAGTCCTAGTCCTGGAGGGGCTGCTGTTCCTGCAGGTGCTCTTTGTCTCTTTAATCACACAGCACCAGAAGAGCTGGGGGTTCAATAGATCCACTCCAGCCCCTAATGAGTTAATTTGGCCTCAAGAGCTGCGTTGGAATGAAAACCTACAGACACGTCAGCCCCCCTGCAAAAGGAATTGGACAGCCCCGATTTGTATCATTTAATTTCTACCAACAAAAAAAGAAAAATGTTGCAAGGTTAATTTAAATTATCAACAGATTATGAAAGCTGCAGTACTTCCGGCAACAGTCTTAATGCATTTTTTCTCTCTCGATTTTCTCAGTTTTCTCTTTATAAATGAGGGTACAGCTTCCTCTCGGTGGATATTTTCCCCAGCACCTCTCCGCTGAACTGGTACGTCAGCTTTTTCTTGACCTTCTTCACCTCCCCGGTCTTGCCGTAGTTCCTGAGGGCACGTGCCATCTTCTGGTAGGTCATCTTCTTGCGGTTCCCTTTCTGCACGCCCCAGCGGTTGGCCAGCGCCTCCTTGTGCTTGGAGGAGAACTGGAAAGTCCCCTTCTCCTTGTCTACCCACCAGATACTGTCCTTCATGTCCCCGTTGCGCAGCAGGTCCAGCAGAAACTGGTACAGGCGGATTTTCTTCTTGTTACCTGCAGCGGGACAGCGGGCTGGTGAGTACTGCGCCGGCACAGCGCCCTCATCTGATCCGAACTGATCCGGTCCAGCCGGTATTGGGCTCATTTAGCTTGTTTAGCTCATTTAGCTTGTTAAAGAGCCGGGTTTGATTGGAAACTGGTAGATACACCAGCCGTCCTGAAAAATTATGCCCTTTGATGAAAGGCACAATGAAAAATAATCCTCACACTTCTATAGCTCTTTTCTGGACCCTCTGCTCAAAGCGCTTTACATGAAATGGGGATCCCCTCCACCCCCACCAGTGTGCAGCCACACCTGAATGATGCTCCAGTCCCCTCACACACACCAGCTCTCAGTGGGGAGGAGAGCAGAGTGATGAAGCCAGTTCAGAGATGGAGGTTATTAGGAGGCCATGACTGGTAAAGGCCAATGGGATATTTGGTAACACCCCTACTCTTTACAAGAAATGCCCTGGGATTTTTAATGACCACTGAGAGTCAGGACCTCAGTTTTATGTCTCATTCTAAGAACGGCACCTTTTTTTACAGTATAGTGTCCCCGTCACTATACTGGGGCATTAGGACCCACACAGACTGCAGGGTGAGCGCCCCCTGCTGGCTCCACTAACACCTGCTGAGCTTCAGTGGACTGCCAGCTGTGAGCTGCAAGGTGATATAGTGTAGCTGCTGGTAGTCTAACAAGCACATCTTTACAAAAACTTTACATTTTTTGTTATTGACAAAAAATGAAAAAGGTTAAAAATGAGAAATAATGGGATTATCTGACCCATTTGTGGTGTCATAGAAGACACTGTACTCTAGATCCAAGACTTACAGTATGTTAAGGTATGGCTTCTCTCCTTATCTCTGATAACATGAGAATAATCTCTGTCTTGTTCAGTGCACAGCATAAGGGTTCCTTTTGCAGGACAGCGGCCTTATTGTAAAAAATACAGCTTCTGATTTTTATGTCCACTTTGAGAAAGCTGCCCTGTGCTAAACATTTCATTGCAATTTGGCAGGTTTGCCCTGGATTTCCTGTTTCGTCTGTGCAGGTTTCATCACGTGTTAACTACAGTACATGTTAACTGCGATAACACGTTTTATTTTTACCAGCACAAATGTTTATAAGGGAATTATCACACATCATCAACTTTATCACACCCTGGTCAGCTAAAGGGGGTACAGTATAGGAAATCAAAGTGAAAGTTAGTTAAAGTTGTAAAAAGAGAGAAAAAACAGACGAATGATCTATTGGAATGACTGCAGTTTCAGTGGTAATTACTGGTATTATATTACAAGGCAATCCCTTGACGGACACCACTCACCTGGCTCCCCACTGGTGGGACAGGGCAGGTGGTCAACCAGGTCGGCCTCTCCATCTGAGACCTCAAAGGGCGGGCTCCTTCTCTCCATGTCCTCCTCATCGGAGCTGCGCTGGGCAGGGGAGGTGTAAGGGTACCTGCGCTGCATGTACTGCATCTGAAACGGCAGTGGGATGTTTGTAGCCTTCTGTACGCTTGACGCAGAGAGTGGCGGGAGTGTGTAACAAGCTGCCCTGACCACGCTGTTGAAGTTGATGCCCTGGCTTGATTCAAGAAAAGGCTGGGTAAGATCCTGGAATCATTCAGCTGCTTACTACCGAACAGGCTAGACTGGGCTGAATGGCTTCTTCTCATCTGCGATAGATAAGATAAGAGAGAAGGCATCCCTGCTGCCTGGACTGTAAACATACCAGGGTTTTTGTTTGCTTTAGAAAATGCACTTATTTTAGCTGTGTCCCTTGATTCCATAAGGAGACAGAAATTTGATTTGAGGGTAGATGTAGAACCTGCTGAAGTTTGTCAGTTCTCATGGGGATGTGGCGCTGAAGTGTGGAATCCAAGAATCTGGGCTTCTTTTTTGTTCAGTGGACAAAATAGCCATGTTTCTAAAAACTATATTGCCACAAAGAGGCACGTTTTAAATATTCAGCAGTCTACAGTACACAACTCTTAAAGACACAAACGCATAGGAAATTTACCACTCGAGACCTCAGACTTATACTGAAAGAGGAAGTTAAAAGCTGAGAAGAAAATGCGAGGGTGGTTACAGAGGATTTAGCAAAATGTCTTGCTGTGGGAACCACTTTGTCTTCAAATTTCAAATTTCAGTGGCACAGAGTGGGGACAGAGAGCTTGTGGCCGAAGGGAACATAAAACATAATTTGGGCATTGGAAAAGTGCATCACCTACACTTCTGTGGGCTCAGGCTGTCCCCGGATACACAATCCATAGAGCAGGCTAATCGCTGTGATTATATCAATCCTTTGTGTCTCTTCTTTCAAAACACTTAACATTGGCTCAAATTCCTGTTACAGTTACAGGGTGCAGAGGGCCCCCTTTAACACTGAGTAAAATAATCTTAAAAAGAAACCACTTAACCAGTTGTCACATTCACAAGGTGACATGAGTGTGATCTGTTGTGCTGTATTTTCTTAAGACCTTCTCAGAGGTCTTTCTCGTCGTCGAAATGCCGTTTCTAAAGAAGGCCTTTCCGTCTATCCCTTTACAGACTCGTCAGCTAGGGCTCTGCTTCCCAGCAGATGTTGGGAAAGGGGGAAACGAGCTGTGGCGGGGCCCGCAGAGAGGGGGAATATCCACCCCGCTGTCCGGCGAGGCGACGACACTTTCACGAGTGCATGTGATGCACACTCCATAAGGATGCTGCCCCCGCACAACTTAACAAATACAAATGAAATAAGATCTGAGGTACAGACATACATACTGCAGACAGCAGCGACTAAGGACACTGGAGCACCACAGAGTGTGTCTGGCATCACTCTTTCTGATGGTTTCCGTGGTAAATTCAGCGCAGACGTCTTGCGCTTGCATCTGCTATCGGTTCCCTTAGCTTTAACGGGTGCCAACGGCAATGCAGGAGAACATGAGAGCACCGTGACCTAACGTAGTCACAGAGGATGACCCCAGGGGTAGAGCGCACTGCAGGTTACTTATAAAACATTATACGAAGGCTTTAGAGTAGGCTAGAAGAGAGAATTACTTCCACTTCCCAGCTGGTTGGTATTTGTCTATGATTTTCATGGCTTACGAATTAAGTTAAAGAAAAACGTTATTCTAACATTCAGCATCGGTCATCGTAATCTGTGATTAACCATTTGTTTTTTGCACAGCTTTGCCTATGTTTTGTTTTATCAAAATCACGAATCTCTTCCCAGGTGGCAGGCATTTGGAAAAAAATACTTACATAAAGAATGATGACTTTAATTATTGTTGTATTAGTAGAATTATACCATTTTAATTAATCTGAACTAGTACTGAGTTCAGTCTACCTTCAGGTGATTAGCTATAGTATATGGAAAGATAGTGCCCTGGGGTTGTCAGTGATTTTCTCCTGCTGTTATCTGGCTTTCACCTGTAAGTGTACCTCCAGCAGCTCGGCACACGCTGCTGTGGAGGACGGGGGCAGAGCAGGTTCTCTGTAAAGCGAAAGGGGAAGCAGGGTGCTAGAAGGGGTTTTCTCGTGTGTCTCTGGCCCTCAGACCTCCTCTGTTGCAATGTGGGCTAGACAGCTGGGCGCTGGTGGCCTCACGGCCACACTGTCAACGAGCTTCGGGCAGCCAGGCAGTTTGCGTGTGAAAGACAACAACAGCAACACACGCCGACAAGTTACATTTTCTATCACTCACGTGTACAAGCAGTACCCTAAGGACCCTAAAACGAGGCTCCTGAAATAACACAACTTCTGTTTCACCTGTGGTTGCCTTTTGTGTGCGATTGTTACTTAACAGGCGAGAGAACTAGAATCAATCAGCAATCTAAAAATAGCATTCAGCTAGCGTGTTTAAGATGATCTATAGCTTCTGTCTCCCGACGATATTGCTACTGAGCCTCGATTCCTTGGAAACTAAACTCACAAAACGAACCTAAAACACATTTCCCTGCGATTACATTGAATTCACATTGAATTTGCATACCAGAGTATAATTATGGGTGACGTACGCCACACTACTAAATGGCCACATAAACTAGTCATTTAGTGTTTTCACTGGTTGAGATAAAAGAGAGTGCAATATCTCTGACACACAGAGTACATCATTTTTCATCCACGAAATTACACTGGTGCACCTTTCCAGTTAAGAGTACATAATACTAACTTACAAATGTGGATTTCAGTTCCATAGACACAGTGAGGGTCTTAATCTTTAAAAAAAGCATGTGGGCTACATAAAATTAATGTTTTATTCCCAGCATTGTTTTTACCAGCAAAAAGAAGCTTGTACATTTTGCCCTCTCGTGTTTTTGGATTAATTTTCGGAGCTCTCACAGTGAGCTCTTCTACCCTGTTATAAAAAGCGCTCACCCTTACTGTTCTGGTGTTAACTTACCGAAATTATTTAAGGGAAAGGAAGAAAAAATGCTCAAAAAAGTGTGCTGTGCTTTCACAGATATTGCGCGTGGTGGTGAGGGTTTTTTAGTGAGACTGATTTTCTTGAAGCCACCTGGAACAGCCCCTCCCCTCCCCCGACCACCCCCTCCCTCACCAGGAGCATGTCCCAATAACGAACAGTAAAATTGGGTAAATAATGAAAATCCACAGCCAAGCGGTTAGTGAGTCTGCACAATTCGGCGTCGCCCTCAGAGCTGTCACGTAGAGGCAACACTTACTCAGGAAAAGACAGTGTTGGGCAACGCTATCTCACAGCAAACAATGCTCAGATCCCACACAATTAAAAAAAAAACACTCACTGCAATGTGGCATCTACTTTAAACAGCTAAAAGTCCCTGCTGTAATCACCTTTTTATAAGGCTAGCTGAGACCAACATTCAAGTAACTGTTACAGCACATCAAGAGCTCAGAAGAGTGAGCAGCCAAAGCATGAATTCTGAATTTAGTGCAGAATACAATCTATGGGCCTGTCCTCAGATCATGAAGCCATTGCAGCTTTATTTGTTCACAAAATAAACAGCTGTGTGTGAGTGGGACGGGTATTTTCTGTCAAATTTTTGAGAGGCATTGTAAATAGGAGATCTTTCTAATTCTTGAAACATAAAAATTGAGTTATTTTGGCTTTATTAGGGGGTCGGTGGCATGCAACCCAAATGGCAGTTCCATCTCTGAAAGCCCCCTGTCCATACTCTGCCATCAGACAGGCTCAGTGCATTAGCATGTATTTCGATTCTCAAGATGAGCACTAGTGAAGATGGCTCATCAAAACCTGAACCCACCCACTAATCCACCATTCCACAGAGCCGCTTCACGAACGCCCTGACGGTCGACGTGTACTGGGATTGGAATTTGTCAGCGGCTCAGACTTGGGCTTTCATCTGGGTCGGAAACAAAATGGCAAGCGTGCCTTAAAAAGATTCACAAACGTAGCTTTTCTTCGTAGGCAAGAACTGTTCCCCACAGAAGGTAACAGCGGGTTTACAAGTTTACAAGTGTTGCAACTTTTTATCGCTGTTTATATTAGTACAACCGATCCTAACGGTTCCCCTTTGGTCTTGTGTAAAATCAGAGGTTTTAAATCAAGGGGATGTCTGTCATGAACCAAGCTACAGCAGGACATTTTCCCGGCGTACTTTATATACACTGAACAAAGCTCGACAGCTGATGACTGCTTCAAACTGGACAGGAGTGCCAGAACATTTTGGGCACATTGTTGTTGCTGACTATGGAAATACCCAACTTTCCTTCTGTTCTGAGAAAACACAGAAAGTGCTGACTATTCATGCATGCTTTCTGCATATATTTCCACTACCTGCCTTTATGCTGGACGCTGTTGTTGAGACACTTCACAGCCAGACTGCCTGGCACACGATGTGTATTTCGTTGTGTAACCCACCAAAAAGCTTCTGACGTTCCCAAAGTGCTCCAATTCTGTTTTTCCCCCCTCACTTCTCCCCCCGATGCCGTTGAGCAATCCCGAAGCCTCCGAAGGCTCCCAGGCCCGATTGCAACACGGCTGCCTGGTAACAGGGCTCGGTCACACGAGATCGAAACGAGAACATGGTTGCTCGCAGATGGATTTCCATTTCCTTTTCCTGTGTAAAAACCCTGCCCTTGGCTTCGACCAATTCTTTCGCCAGCGCGATTTGGTGGAAAGAACGTCTCCGGGAGAATGCCACCCACCCTTTTCTGTTTTTCCGCGTTTGCGCCCACGCCCCCCGTCCGGGACGCCCCCCCCGCGCGGAGATGTGGGAGGGGGTCGGTGTCGGGCCGCGGGGGGCAGCAGGAGGGGCAGGAGCTCACCTGGGGGGAGATTGTGAGGTGGGTGCTGCTCAGCCCGGGGTCTATGGAGTGCACGGGTTCGATTTCGCCGTAGCGGGCGAAGGGCTGTACCGGAAAGGGCTGCACGCTCTGCAGTTCGGTGAAGTGGTTTTCGGGGAACCCCTCAAACTCGCTGGGGTGGATGGGGTGATGGTGGTAGTCCCAGTAGTGCTCTGCAAGACAAGGAAAAACAACGCTTTAACATGGTCATACTCTGACCTTTGACCCCACCCAACACTCGCTCTGCTCCGGTTTTTTTTTTTATTTGAGGACTTCCTGCACACTCAGATCCATGGAGGTCCTTCAAATACAGCTCTGCTGAGAGAACCGGACTGTGTCTACGCCGTTATGGCTAACAGCAGACAACATGCGTCGTCCGTCCCTGAAACTCCTCCCACTGCGTAACATGGGCAGATGCCTGCCACGGCCATGGACGCTTTTTCAGAGGCTGCGCGACACAGGAAACCTGTGTCTGGGCCTGTACCACAGTGAGGCCCGCGCTAAAACCATTCTCGTTAACCCGCTTGTCCGCTCCCCTCGATTTCTGAGCTGTTTCCGTCGCCGTGACGCTCATCACATCCAGAAGCTTATCTTTGCCCAGAGGAGGGTGATGATGTCACTCGGGTTCCCAGCCTGCGACAAACCAGGCACCTGCTATCATTCGGTGACATCGGTCCTTTGGTCTAGAATCGCAACTTGCTTACTTAAACTAGGATGGCAGTTTCCATTTGTTTCTTAAAAAAAGCTACATTCGCATTTTCCCCTTTTCTAAAATGCTAACGATTCATTTGGAAAATTCAGTGACTTTACTGGTTGATCGCTTACAGCAGCCTGCACAGAACAGTTACCTTTCCTAACATGTAAATAGTCATGCTATTGTACAGTGTTCCGGGGTGAAATGCACACCTCCCACTTTAGACGAACGGGAGGTTCAAATGTCTCAGCGTTTACACCGTCAAACTAGTCATTGGCATTGAAAAGCTTGATTGTATTTCTCAAGTTGTCTATACGTTTTAACCCACAGGTTTTCTGAGCAAAGTCACAGCTCAGAAAACTGTGAACTAGACTTAGGCAGCCATCGAGCTTGTGGCCAGTCCCAGTATGCCCTTTGCCCGATACCAAACAAGGCAACATTTCCAGTAACACCCGCCAGCCTTCTCTTTCAAGGGACGTTAATGACATCCCACCTAGGTTAAAAGTAAACTGTAAAGGATCTCACATCCCAAATGATGCAGCAGAGGCAGTCAGTGCCGTCCAACCAGGAGTGTGTCTGATGGCATAAAGCCGTCTCAATAAAAAAGCAACACACAAAAGCATGTGGAGCACAAGAGCACCTAGCCTGTAGCATGGTGTTTCCATGAATTCCTGCGATATGGGAATGCAATCCAAGCTTTTTCCTACCTTTCACCCCACTGTCTGCCACCTCGCTGCCCTCGCTGCACATACCTCTTGGTCTAACTGGAATTTTCCAAAACAGAAAAAAAAAAACAGGGTGGGGGTCTGGTTTATCTGGTACTTAGATCAAGCAACACTGCCTTCAACACATTTATTTAAGCAGCCCTGAAGTGACAGTGAGAAACAGGCAAATTTGTTTTTCATACACTGTATGTCACAGGGATGCTGAAAATGTCTAAAGTAACTAAAATGTAAATCACTGATCTTGTAGTCTAAGTTTTAAAGTAAAGCACTGTACTTTGAATTTGTTTCTTCCAGTTTTACTGCTTCTAAGAACTAAAGTTAAAATCGCACATTAGGTAGAATGCCACGCTGTTTTATAGCAAAGTCACTCTTCCTGTTAATTCTCTTTTCTCCTTTGCAGCAAGGTCAGAATTAGGGTCACTTTCATCAGCAAAAACCTCTTCCCTCCCAGTGTGTCAGCGCTTGTCATTATGAATCAATTCTTAGGCATCTACAACACGTGCACCAGTTGACCGAACGGTGTGTACTATGAAAGACAATATGAATATCAAGTCTATTCATCCCACCCTTCCTCAACCAGTCTTTCTTCCAGGCCTTTTTTTCTCAGTCTAAAGAGATTACAGGTTGTACAGGACTCACACTAAATTAGGTCATATATAATATATCCATCCATTAGGAGATGTTGCTTTTTCCTTGTAAGGATTGTGGCACCATGGAGTCCATCTTAGAAGCATAGGGCAAAAGGCAGGATACACCCTGGACAGGACACCAGTCCATCAGAGGGCACAAGGCACTACCACACCCTAGACAGTCCAACACAGGGCACAAGGCAGGATACACCCTGGACAGGACATCAGTCCATCACAGTGCACAAGGCAGTACCACACCCAGGACAGTCCATCACAGTGCACAAAGCAGCAACACATTCTAGACAGGACAAAAGTCCATTATAGGGCACAAGGCAGGATACACCCTGGACAGGACACCGGTCCATCACAGGGCACAAGGCAGTACCACACCCTGGACAGTCTATCACAGGTCACAAGGCAGTACCACAGCCTGGACAGTCCATCACAGTGCACAAGGCAGTACCACAGCCTGGACAGTCCATCACAGTGCACAAAGCAGCAACACATCCTAGACAGGACAAAAGTCCATTATAGGGCACATGGCAGGATACACCGTGGACAGGACAATAGTTCATCACAGGGCATAAGGCAGAATACACCCTGCACAGGACACCAGTCCATCACAGGACACAGAGCAGGACCACACCCTGGACAGGACACCAGTTCATCACAGAATACACACACCCTGGCCAGGACACCAGTCCATTGCAGTGCAGACACACACACAGGCTAACACCTCTCCAGCATGCCTCTGAAAGGTGGGAATAACCTGGAGCAGATGGAGAAAACACAGGGGGAATGTGCAACTCCAAAAAGAGGTCACCTCTGTCCAGAATCGAACCCAGGACCCAAACTCCGCAAGGCAGCAGTGCTAACAGCCATGCAAACACACTGCCATAGTATAATATAAAAAGGTCAGAGACAGGAACGTGAGTTCACTGAAGGTAATCACAGTGTTCTGTTTGCTGTTCAAAATATCTTTCACTTTGCAGCCCAGATGTGTTCCTATAGCAGTTCAGCAGCTTTTTTTTTTGTGACAAACTGACTGACAAGAGGTCACAGAAAGAACTGGGGGGTGTGAGTTACAGTTAGACACTTTAAATAAACATCTGTAGACTCACTGCAGCTGGTTGCTGCAGATTAAAAACCACGTGACACCAGGACAGTAATAGTGCATTAAATACATTCTGGCATCTGCCGAGCTGATTTCAAGAGGCCGACGTTTTCTGGCACGGTTAATCCAAAGAGTTCCCATAAAATCTGCTCGCGTAAAGCAGGATTAGCTCAGCTGCTTCCATCAGCACTGTGAGCCCAACTGAGCTGCATGACAGCTCTCGGGAGCACGGGGGACATGCTGAAAGGGGGTAAAGATGTATACATTTAATTAGAATGCAAATGCCCTGTGCTGAGGATGCACTCGATGTGGAAAGGCCTCACTTTCTTGCCACGATTCTCCATCCCACGTTCTCTCCACCCTGGATCCGGCCAGGAATGGGTGTGATAAAATGTGCCGCCCAGAGGTGCACGCAGGGCCCACCACAGTGTCCGACCTGCAGTCTTTTCCCCGCTGGTGCAATGCCTATTCGGAAGCCAGGCCGGGAAACCGGCGGGGACGCGGTCAATGCAAGCGGAAGACCGGGACCTATTTCTTGGCGCTCCGTGCCTATTCCAGTCGTCCCCTTCCCCGCTCCCTCCCCCCCGCCAGCGTTTCCGCTTCGGATCGGTCACCGGATTCAAGACACCGCGGTTGGGCTGTGCGGAACTAAGAAAGTGTCTGCGACTGACGGTCAAGACTCGTTCACTGGTCCAAGAGCACTAGGGACTACACCCCCTGCCCACGCCTGCTGCATAAAAATCCCTGTTGCAGACCCCCCATTGCTCCGCAGAAACAATCCGCAGACGTCCGTGTGGAAACAGATGGGAAAAATGCCTAAAGCAAAACTGATATTCTGTCTGTGGCAATGACACACAATCTCCGAATCCTGCCCCAGAGGAACAGAGTCAGCGATCGCTCCTTACAGCTAGAAACATGCCTACTGGTTTTAAAATACTGTGGCTCACCACCCACTAATCTACTAGTGCTTAATTACATGGTTATGACACTCGTGCCAGTCTAACACTAAGCGGTACACAAAGGGATAGATAATGCACAGCTAATTTTAAACGTCTGTATACCGCGTATGAGCATGGCATCTCAGAATTATCCATCCCCTAAAAAAGAGTGGCGCCATTACGCTCCCCTCAGGTATTTATACTAAATAACTTCAACTGTTGCATTTTGAAGCAAAACGAAAACAACACACTTCATCTCCAGACACTTATGGCCAGACACGTACTGGCCGCATAAAAAGCCAGCAACTGTTCTATTCACTCGGACGGAGCCCAGAGAAAGGGTTAGACTGGGATCCCGTTTATGGCGGGGACTGGGGATAACTCCAGCAGCCACAACACAGCGATTATACCGGAGGTCATGCACGCCGAGCCTCTGGAGAAGCACACGCGTTTGCCCCTGTTTGAAATGCCGATACACAGAGGAGGCTTCAGTGCCGCGGGTGTTTGACGCCTTTGGTATTTACAGTACATGTTCCTCTTCAGTCCGGTCTGTATTATCATGTCTCTTCGTCAGCATGGTCCTCCGAGTTTGTTTTGGTTTTGCTTTGCTAAGCGACCCCACATTTCCTTTCCTCTTTTTTTCTGTTCTTTGCATTAATATCTTCCCTTTTTTCGGTGTCTTTTTGGTTACATCAGCAGTTTTTCTTTTTACACTAAATCACTTACTGGAATAAAATTGCAGGTGTATTCTAACCGAAGTTATAGATTATTTTTCTAAACCCCTTACTTTTAAGACAAAACAACCCGTGTACGTGGGTGACCTTTACAAGGGGGTAAAGTCATTACAATTAATATATCCATCTAAGAAATTCCACTTTACATCATCGCACGACTAAACAGAACCAATTGTGCACATACCATTTTAACTTAAAAGATATGTGTAATTATTGTTAAAATTAAAAACAAAAAGATCATTAGGAGACAAGTAAAATTCAACCTTACCTCCATGACTGTCACCATCATTAAGGTAGGGGTAATATTCGATTGGTTGTCGGTAGATATCGTGATCGTAAGTAATAATTTCTTCTGAAGACTTTTGAAATAAAACAGATGGACAGGAAACACGGCATGAGAATGCTATTTATTCAACAAGACGTGGGACATACACACTGTTGTAAAAAATAACTTTGTTCGCATGAATAGTTGTGAACTAGACAACTGTTTTTAAATGTTCAAATTTCCAACTTCATGTTACTTTTCTAATATTTCTAAAATACAAGCATCAAGTGAAGTATAAAATAGTTAATATTAGTCTCTTAGTACTGTAAGTAGCGAAATATTGTACTTGTTTATTATTTTCTTCATGTCCTGTTTCTCTCTATAGAATGTATATTTACAAAATAATCGAATCGCACACAAAACGTTGTTTTATGCATTTAAATGACTGTAAAATATGGGCACTATGCATTAAAATACTGTAAGATGAGGGCATTTTAGTATTTTCCAATAAGGTGGAAGCACTTTAAGTTAAAACGATATCACTTTATTTTTTTAAACAGTCACACATAAACATAACAAAAGTAACACAACAAAATAACTTAATGTTTACCCTTACAACATTATTGAAAATAATAAATAAATAATGAGTGTTGTTATAACACAAAAATGAAAATATACAAGTAATTGTAAACTAAAAATAACAAGACAATGCATGTTTTAACATCACTGTCCTTGAAGTGTTCTTTGTTTTAGGAATGTATATGTTTACAATAAATTGTAAAATTATATTCTCAAATATACATTACTAGGTACTCTGTAAGCTAAGAAAAATCCATGCAAGCATGATTTTACTATTTGATTTTTGAAAGATCAAAAGAACTGAGGATTGTGCTAACATTAAAACTAAAAGCAAATTTATATTATAATCCCCTCAAATGACAGAAATAATGTCCCATGGATTCGTGTGAAATACAGTACACAGCGAATTGGAAATGGTATGAGACAAGACAAACCAAAAACATTTAAACATGATTAAAAATTTGAAGGTTAAGTTGTACTGAATTTCAGAATGAGGTCAAATATGATCACCTTTTCTTGTTACTTTTAGTTTACCCTGTAATACAAACAGAATAACTTTGTTTTAATACTGCTGATGAGAATGATAGTGCATCAATATTGTTTTTTTTTTACTCTTAACTATAAATTAAGTTTATTTTTCCCATCCCCTTCCACATTACTTTTTAAATTAATCTCTTTACTGTGACCCATTACCATGGGAATAATTTCGCTTAACAGGAAAGAGCTCGAAACTACAGAAATAAATCGAAGAGGTACTTACAGGTGCAATGAGGTATCCCTCCATCCTGTGTGCATGTAGCATCAAGCAGATTGAGCAAAATAATCAGCTAACAGTCTTACTTTTCTTAGTCTCTTTCAAAACTTCAAGAAGCCATTGCATAACTCAAAAGACAATTTTCTCAACAAATCAACCGGGAGGCCACTTTTCTTCTCCGTCGGTAATTTGTCCGAGAAAAACAAATGCCTGTTCTCTGTAAAAACAGTACAAGTTTAAAAACCAATTACACACCTGTCAGATTAATACATGTACACTGTTTTTATTGTATTAACACACTGGCTGTTGCTGAAGACAATCTAAAATGGCCCTTTTTCCTTTTTTTTCAGAAAGTTCCTGATTGTAAGTGATGTGTCAGATGGAGATAGTGATTCAACTATATCTGAGTTGAAATTGTGTCATCAGCTGTCAGCCAATCAAATCAGGTCTGCGTATTTTAATGAATCAGGCCTCACCTTTTTTTCGTGACACACAGACACTTCAAATTTGGCTGAAGCAAAGTACAGTATTTACCAAATATACCAAATACCTTAGTACAATAAACACCAATTTTATATATCTATCTATCACTTTGAGTTATTTTAATTAAATGTATACAGCAAATTCTAAAAATCAGTCAGTGTAAAATTAAAACTAAATTTGAATTCTAATGCCATGCATGGCTGGACAGTTTATAAATACTTTCTGTCAAGTTGTGGTTAAAGTTTTTAAGCAGTGATGCCAGAACGATACTTGGGGCTGTGACGGGCGTCTCGACAGAATTACAGAATCAGTTTTATTTCTGAACAAATAAAATGATTTTCAAGATCCTTAATCCTTCGAAGACCTCATATCAGAATCTGTAAGGAGAGGTGTAAACAATGGAAACATGAAAAAGAGAGTTTCCAATTTCCGCTGATAATTTAACTTTTCAGATAAAATCGAAAGTAAAAAATGCATTATGATACTTGTATAAAACCCTTACCTGAAACTGTGGTGTTTATTTATAAGCTTCTGTAACATCCAAATTGACGAGTCTTTTAAACTGTACCAAGAACAGGAGAGACAGTGACTATGGTCTGCTGAAAGACCATTATCACAACGTCTTTTCAAAAACAGAGGTATACAATATCTTTTGAAAACGCACTCATTGCCTTATGCATATGAACATCCTACAGTCTGTAAAAATGTAGTCAAGAGAATTTCTCTAGCCTTGCTGACATGTGAATTTAACAGAATCACTCACCTGACATCAGGGCAACTTTCGGTTATTCGCAGGTTTTTTTTTATGATTGTTATAAGTGTGCTGTGTTGTGGATATAGCGTATCATTAACACATCATTTGCTAAAAGTGAAGTTATGAGAAAGGCTTGTTCCCTTTTTTAATCAAAGCCCAAACACTGCTACTTCTTCCTTTTAGAGGAGCTAACTGTAACTTGGATCAGGTGGAATGTATCCCCTATGAAATATAACAACAGTCCTCTTTCTCATGTAAAATAAAAGGCTTAGCTTGTTGTCAGAGTTCCTGGACCTGTTCTCCATTGTGACCCCTGGGCTTAACACTAGGTGCAGGAGAATTGCCTATAGTAACATTTGACATTATAGGCAAAGTTATATACAGTATCCTAGTTATGTTCATTTTAAAGTAGGAGAGACCATAAAGGCACATAGAATGTATGATTATTTTCCCTATTTGTCCACATTGGTGGATATTTATGATATCCGTGGCATAATTAATTTAAAATCGAATTTATGTAAGCCAAACTCAAAGGTTGTGCAAGTGAATACACTTGTTTCTGATCCTAAGATGAAGTGGATTTAAATACACAATGTTCCGTTCTATTAATTTTTTCTCAGGCGTGAAATTTCACATCTGGGCTTTAAAGCCTGTCATCTGCATCCTCAAATAGTTTAAACTAAAGGTACTGATGGCATAGCACAGCTTGTGGGAGGAATCCAAGTTGGTCTTGTAATGTCCTATTGCCTCTCCATGCCATGTGTACATAAGCTATAATTAATTACCATGACTTCATTGAGCTTTATCTTAATACGAAAATAATGAATACTGTTTCTAAAGACACTGCAGTTAATTATTAGTTAATGTGATTTCTTGCTATAATATTTAGTATCAAGTATATAGTATCTTGATATAACATTATCTTATAATTTATATGCAGCATATTAACAATACTGTAATTTTTAAAATATTATTCACTACTTAATAAAAATCAGTGACACTCTTTTCCAATAAAGACCAAATGCAAGCGAGCCTCAAGGTTGCAGAGATTAGGAGGAGACTCTAAGAACAATGGTATGTCTTGGTGTCTCGGTCCTGCTTGACTCATGCCCTGTGTCCTATTTCCCCACTGAGGAGAGAAGGATTTGCATGCTGTAGGTCCTCTGTGTCAGAATCCTGGGATGACACTCATGAAGCTGCCATCGAAGAGATGCTTACATGGGGATAATGGCCTGGCAGTGTTTCTGACTGGACTCCAGTTTTTGGTAGCTGTTGACAGCAGGGCTCTTCTGATAAGATTTCTGTGGAGATACAGGGTTTCCTTTGAGTAATCACTGGGGGGGAGGTTGGCGAAGAATAAACAGGAACTGGAGTTGTATTCTTTTTTAAGTATACATAAGGCCCAAGAGATCTAAGGTGGTGGTGGTGATGGGGGTTAAGTTTTTTTTTAATGTTTTTAACGAACATGAGGTTAGTTGTATTTCTTTGGGTTAATAATAATAATAATAATAATAATAATAATAATAATAATAATTGCTTACACTTATATAGCGCTTTTCTGGACACTCCACTCAAAGCGCTTTACAGGTAATGGGGATCCCCTCCACCACCACCAGTGTGCAGCCCCACCTGGATTGTGTGTTATGTGTTTGGTGGGATTCGTGATTACACATAGTTGAAGTAAAAGAGGATACAATAATGTAATAAATTAATTAACTGAATAAAGCAAAGGATGGAGGTTTTATATAGGAATTTAAATGGAGAGATGGGTCCTGCATATCTCATGATTCAGTCATGTTCATTTAAAAGACAGCTGAAGTAACTGAATAAACTGAAAGGAGAGGTGGAATTCAGGGAGACTTTACTGGCAGTTTTTGAATGTTCCAGAAACAAACAAAAAAGCATAATGAAAACACTTTCACCATCTGTCTCTCCAGACTAAAAATATGCCCTAAAACATTTGTAATCTCAACCACACAATTGTGTTTGATTGTGTAGTCACCGATCCATCCGCCAGTTAAGCTGATACCATCAAGAGAAAATACACCCCAGAGACAATAAAATGAAAGACGTTTTAGACCAAACTAGGCGCCATATGGAAATGCAGTGGTTAGCACTCTTTCACACAGGGCTTGGCTCAGGGTTAAGTTCCTGGCTGGAGCACTTTCTGTGTGAAGCCTGCATGGTCTTCTCATGTTTGTGTGGCCTTCCACTGCTCCCACCTCCTACAGACTTGGCCTCATGACTATTATAAGTCCCATCATGCACCCTAAGGATCAGGTAGACCACCTCCCCCCTCAGGAGTAGATGTCCAGACTAATGGAGGAAGACAACCAACATCATCCAATTAGTGGACATTCCATGTAATGATTTATTTCAAAGACTTGCAGTGCATGTGAAGAACATAACATTTAATTATTCCTTCAGATGCACGTAAACAAAAAAAACCTTTTCTTTCTTTGTTCTCTTACTTGTTTGGTGAATGAGAACAAATTAGAACCTAACCACCTTCAAAAACATAGTCACATATTAACATTGAAGCTAAAACAAAATGCTAAAACAAAATATCTTAAAGGAAAGCAAAAGTGTTCCAGCAGGACATAGAATGATTCAGTAATGTTAATATGTGCTAAAACAAAATATCTTAAAGGAAAGCAAAAGTGTTCCAGCAGGACATAGAATGATTCAGTAATGTTAATATGTGCTAAAACAAAATATCTTAAAGGAAAGCAAAAGTGTTCCAGCAGGAAATAGAATGATTCAGTAATATTACCGAAATTGAATCTCTAGAGAGGCCGGCTCTCATGACATTTTCACAGTATATTTGTAATGAGTATTTTGTTAGGGTAAGAATTTAGACTCAGCATCTATTTTTTTGTAATTGAGTCCTTTCAAGAAAGAAATGAAGTCAGAAAAATGTATTCAAAATATTAAAGCATGTTGCAAAGAGAGATTATTCTAATCTGAAAATTTAGATTTATCTAATAAGACCATTATAAGAAACTTCTAATCCTCCACACGTTTTTCTGTCATAAAAAAGATAAGAAAACATTTTTAAGCAGATGTGATAATGATAATGAAAAAAAATCATTATCTGTATTCATTAAGTTGCTAATTTGTGCTTTCATTTTTTAGCAGCAAGCTAAGATGAAGCGCTCGAAAATTGCTGTGATGAGATTGACGTATTAACACCATTAAAGTTTAAATTTTAAGGATTTTGCCAGGGTCTGTGACAGAGTAGATTTTAATTCATTGTTCCTGGGGACAAAATAAAAAGATTAAAACTGTTGTTTACATTTCTTGGCCCTTTTATATTTTCGTCCAATGTTTAGAGCTTAAGGTGAGAGAGGCGCAGATGGACAGATAGCCAAACAGATATTCACATTATCTTCCCACACAAAAGGGGTTCTGTTTAAGGGAGAAGCTGGAGAGAAGGGATTTTCCTCAGCTCTGCTGATCTCAGGAATGGCTGGGAGGACACACATCCTCGTTCCCTGAAAAAGAAAACTGGGCAACACGAGCTGAGGACAGTCCACACCTTTTATCTCTTATCTGATTTTATCTCTAAACCTCATTGAATGAAGAGAGCAAAAAATCCCTCTCGTTTATGAAAAAGAATGCGGCTCACTTGAGTTCCCTCATATGTCCTGGTTACCGGATTTAAAACCAGAGAGAGCTTTTGTTCATTAACCGCCTTTGATTAGACAGTGAAGTGGCGAAGAACCGCAACCAGGTGCTGTTTACCTGTTGAAACCACACAATTGCATGTTCGCGCGTACGCATGCACGCACACACACACAAGCACAGCTCTGCAGTCTAAATCAGTATGCCCTGCGACCACTGTGGGTTTCCCAAACCTGCTGTGCGTACAGCCTCTCCTCCGCCACTAATTTTTATACGTAAAGGAATTTAAGACCTTTATTCATGTCCAGTTTCAAAGCAGGGGCTTTGAAAAGCTCAGGATATACCATATCTATTTTTTCTCAAGCATTAAATCCCTGTTCCTCTGTCTAAAATGATCAAAGTTTTGCTAGCTGTTGGAAATGTAAAACAAAAAATCAATGATACCTTTTAAGCAATTTGTGGTCTCAAAATAACAAAAAAAAATTAATTTTAGCTAACTGGCAAGGCAAGGCACTTGAGGATCTTGTTACACAAACAGAACCCAGCATTGTTTCACACAAACGTCCGTACAGTGCTCTTTGTCCTCTTGTGCATCTTTACGCGTGTCTCTTGTTGGAGTAGCACCATGTACATTTTGACTTTTAGAACACCAGGGCAAATTTTGCTCTGAAGTTTTGAAAATAGCCTCGTACAGCTAGTGCCTCCTGAAACACTGATATAAATATCTCTGCAGCTGGATGAACACTCTCTCCGGCATTGCCAGCTTCAACTGTAACCATTTCCCTTTGCTTTCCACAGACATGTAGCAGGCCTCAAACGTCTTTTTTTACTTTTTAATAAAACATTGCAATCACTGACTTTTTTTTTAACTTGATAGATCCATGTCATGGATGGGCCGACGATGCCTTGACTCTCAGAGGTGACCCCTGTACCCATAAGGGGAGAACGAGGAAGACTCAAAGTGACGCTCTGTCACTGAGTCAGGCCCCCCAGACCCGCCTACCCTTCGTGCCTTCGTGCTTTGTGACAGGCAGCAAGCTCTGCAGGGCCCTACAGGAGGCGCAGCTCTGATTGGTGGAGAGGTGTGTCTGGCGCTGACATCACTGCACTGTATGGGCCTTGCCGGGCTAATCCCAAACCTGAGCCACCTGGGCAATCCCTGTCAGCTACTGACTTGGCCCAGAATCGAACCTGCAGAGTCTCAGTCTAGAGGATTTTGTATAAATGCTACACCAAAGAAAATCTGTATATGAAAAAAAAGCACAATAAATGATGTAAAATGTACAGAAAATGTGCAAATAGGGACCCTTGACATAATAAAACGATCTCCTGTCTGGGATAAATAGTTATATAGAAAGCACTGGGCAGATGATGCTAATTTGATTTGGCTTATTCATGTATTTCAGATGGGTCTGCAAGAGTGTCTGAATGTGTCCTTATCCATTTACGTTGTGGACTACCCAGTCTGGACTATGAAGTGTGTTTTATATTCACAGTGGATATAATGTCTGGTGATTTTTTACCCAGCACCCTTTATCTTTCTGTGATTTTGAAAGAGACTTTGAAAAGTGTCTCTGCCGCAGGATATGTTTATTAAATGACCGTTAATGCAGATTGTGAAACAATAGATATTTCAAAGGATTCTTTATTTTTAAATCAGCAAGTTTCGGTCTTTTTTTTTTGTACCAGCTGGTCATTGTCACGCTCTAAAACAATCGCAGAGTCAAGCCACAAAGCCAGAGACATGCCTTCAGCTGTCATTTCAGGCTTATTATTAAAGAATCAATCAAACAGTGGAAACTTACAACATTAGATAACGAGGTACAGTAATCCACACATATCTGGTGAGGTAAAATCAGCGCTATATTAATAGTTACACAAATTATTACTGATTTGTGTGCTGGTTATATTATCTCTGGGAAAGACCTACTACATAATCCAGCAATGCTACAATTGTGACTCATTTTTCTGTTTGACATTGCTCTTAAACAGATGTGCTGTTGGCTTTACAGTAGAAAACAGTATCCACACTGGAAAAGGTAATTCCAGAGCAATTTGTTGTTTTTTTTACAGATTGATGTCTGTGCAGCTAACCAATTTATTTGTTTGCCCTTTTTATCCAAAGCAGCTTATATTTGCACCTATTTATACAGCAGGGGGTTAATTTGAACAATTCAGGTGAAGCACTTTGTTCGAGGTTGCAACAGCAGTATTACTACAAAGATCTGAACCCATTAAATTACAATTTGAAAATACTGACCATTGCACCAAACTGCTGCCAGCTGATCACTGAACAGTGCACAGTGGATAGGGTTAGCCTTTAACAGTCTTTTCCTTCATGTAATAGCAGCAAAGAATTCAATCTGTTCTCCCCGGAAAATATTCAGAAACACTGGAAATGCAGTGACCTACTAAGTTTGTGTCAAACTAATGAGAATGAATTACAGGGGTGTTGTACTTAGCGCTTGTCTCTAGCACAAACAAATTCTTGCTTCCTGCATAATACATTCACATTCACAAATTCTTGCTTCCTGCATAATACATTCACATTCACAAATTCTTGCTTCCTGCATAATACATTCATTTTTTATGCTCCTAAGTGTGCGTTTTGTCCCCCATAAGCCCTGTAAGATTTAAAGGTCTTCTTGTGCTCCAAAATTCATTCTTTTATGTAACTGAAGGAATATTGCTCATGCTTTTTCTTAGCCGATCCAAAATCCATTTTACACAGCTGCTGAAAGTACTGTGCTGCTGACACATACCCCAAACCCCTCTGAGATTCTGAACAGCACCTGACAGTGGCAGAACTATAAATAAACATGTATAAATAACACCCACTAGCATTGAAATATTTTTTTTTTGTTCCAAAAAGATGCGAGGAATATGGAGAGCAAAGCACAGCTGCAGCCAGAACTAATTCACAGACTCCTTAAGTTGTATTAAACGCTGTTTCATGTCAATGGTAGGTGTCCAGACGCTACTTAATCTCAACAAGATGCACTGAACCACCTGATGTGAGACGCAGGGCACTCACAGTAATGTTTGCAACTGTGCATACTGTGACCGATTTGTTTTTTCCATATGGAACAAAGCCAGACTATCTCCAATCCAAGGGCTCTCCTATCCTGTATAAAGCCTGGATCTTTGGAACACACCCAGATGTGTGTTTAACTTCCAGGTACAATAACCAGGACCTTTGTTCTATCTGTTTACATGCCTTCCCAATAGAAAAGTACCTAGAAAACCCAGCACACAGTACAACCTGTTACAGTTGGTACTACAGGGGTTGTTAAGATTCAAAACAACCTGTTCGAATCTTAACAATCCCAGATTTCTCCCCACAAAATTGATCATTTGTTTTCAAAGCCACCCTTCTATGAGTTACACATGAGTCGTATGCCTTTCACAGATCCAAGGTGGCTGCAAAAAGGGACCCATTTTAGTTTAGTTAGAAAATGCCTTTCTTCAGATTGCGTGATCAGTGTTTATAGTTGCGAGTCAATAGGTTTTGCGACCTGAAGAGAAGAGAGTTTCGGACGTGAGAAAGTGCTAACAGTTGGAAAGAACTTCACACAGACGACTGTAAGATATTGTGAAATTAAGTTAGAAGTGCAATTATAAAGCAAATTAACTCAACACAATATATCATCCTTATCCTGAGGTGCGATAGGATCTGTGACATATTAGGCTAACATTCTTTGTATAATCGGGCAATTTGTTTGTCTGATTTAACGTCTCAATGTATAGGGATTATAACAGGTTTGGAAACACATATCGCACTAGCACAAAAATAAAATAATTTCAAAAATGTACATTTAATATGATATATAATAAATTGCAAAACGGGTTAAATGATAAATAGGTTTCAAATAAGTAGTTCCACACAAGTGGGAACCATGTGGAAATGCATTTAAAACAGTTAACAAGAGGCATTTCTTTACTCAAAGGGTGGTGGGAGTCTGGAACAAGCTATGCAACGAAGGATCTCTCAAGAAATGGTTGGATGATATCCTTGGATCATTTTTCTGCTAACTACCAAACGGGTCAGAAGGCTTGAGTGGTCTCCTCTTGATTGTTCTTATGCTGTTATGCTCCTGTGCTCTTATGTACTTAAGCAATTTTGCTCATATGTTCTTCTGACTGGGGGCAAACCGTAATGTCATAATTGGCCAAGCAGAGCCTGACCATGAGAAATTAGCTCCTACACAACTCCTACAGTAGCTGCCCCACGTCTGCTGATGTAGACAGCAGCTACATGTCTGATGGAGGTGATTTTCTTGCCTTTTTTTTCCCAACAAGTTGGAAAGAATTGAGTGCTGGTATCCCTCACTACTGTTCATGGTGATATTAGACACGCCGCGTGGTTAAAAGGAAGTGGTCGCATCGCCAGTCTCAAACAAAAAAAACAAGAACACATTTGGGAAATATCTGCTTAAAGGTCAGCACAAGCAGAGCTCTGACAGACTCCTCTGCACAAGTGTTGGGGAGGGCAAGGGTCAGGCGGCGAGATCCCGAAGCCAGTTTTACGAAACAAAAGGTGGAAGACAAGAGCGAGAGTAAAGTGGTGTCCAGTTTGGTCTCGATCCCTTGCCACATTCCTCAGTCAGATCCGGGGGGCAGCCTCCAAATTCCGAAACAGCTCCCAACTCAATGGCGACGCGGCAGTGAGACACCCCCGTTACGCTAGAGAAAAGCAGGAAACCAGCACGGTTCTTTCCATTTCTGCTGCAGCTCAAATTGTAACACTCCGCTAAACTGTCCAGGGAAATGAAAAAGAACACATTTAGGTGCAAAATTACAAAACAAATTGAGTGCAAATTTACTAGTTACACCGTCATTATAGAAACTAAAAGAAAATAAAAAAATATCTCCATGAGACCCCCCCCTCCCAGAAGAGTCTTATGATGCACATTTCCTTAACCTTGTCTCTTTCCTCTACTGACATCTCTGTACAATGACAGCTGACAAGTAGATAATACAGGACTAAAAGATATTTTCTGCTCTTCCCTCCTAAGAAAGTAAGTGTAGATGCAGCAGGAGAAAATCAAAGTAGGAATTGATTTAATAGGACTTTTATACAAGAGAAGCAAACATAACCTTACAAACTTTAGAAATGTCAATGTCCCCCTCCTCTTACATTATAAGAAGCACTATTTTTCACATAATTAGGGTAGTATGTGGTGTGTTACATAATTCTGTTTCTGCTCCTCATTTTGTACAAAAACTGTATATAAAACCTTGTAAAAAGTTGTGAAAGTTCTATACTCTCTTCTATGAAAGGATGTTTTATATTATATCTAACAAGAGTCGTGTTCTCCATATCACTTGGAGTTCTTCTGATCTGTGATCAAATGTTTTTATTGTAGTTATTTTGAAAAGAAAAATCATTTTTCTATTACATTATGCTGATACTGTATGTACACTTATTTATCTGTTGACAGCATGCTAGTCAGACTGTGTGGTATTGTGGATTCGGCAGAAGACATCATCTTCCTTTTTCTGTTTTATATGTCCTGTAAATATAGGCACACTCTCATGTACTGCATCTTTCCTGTATCTTAATCATCTAGTTTTTCAAAAGTACTGTATTTACCATGGATATATGGGGCAGGAAACCAATATTATACCATCCTTTCCATGTTACACAAACAAGGACAAGCTCCGGCTTCGGTTTCGAAAGACAAAAAAATGACAAAAGGGGAAAACATTTCACAAAGATGACGGGACATGACATCAGCGATCAAACAACACTTCTTTCGCTCCTGACACTTTCACAACGAGGGTCAGGCGGCAGCTCGAGCACAGCGGCCTTTTCTGCGCGGCGGCGGGGGGGAAGGGGAGGGAGGGAGGGGGGACAGGGACACAGGGTGCTCGAAGACTCCGCAGGACGCGGAGGAAACGGAAAACAGTTCTCTGCACTCGTCCATTCTGCAGGGGGCCTCATCCCTCTTCTTCATCATTTTGACATGGGCGCCTCCAATATCCGAGAGCAATAATAATTATAATTAATAATTCGTTTTGGCAATAATCTGACACAGGAGCCTGATAAAAGGCCAGCCCTGAAACCCAGTACCACCCCAAATGAAAAAACCTAGTTAGCTAAATAGCCATGACTGTGCACATATTTAAGCCCAACATGTTCTTTGTGAAGTGTGGCACAATCCCTGTTTTGCTGTTGAGTGGTCTTCCAGTGGCCAAGGTATCGTGAGGATTTTCCACGCAGGGGCGACCCCTCCTGGGAGACACGTGTAAGCGCACAGCCCTGTGCCATCCCAGGCAGGGGGGCGCAGGGACAACGGCTCGAGGCCCGACCAGGGCCAGTGCTGGAGGAAGCCATGAGCAGTCTTCCTCACCACTGGTACAAGGGGGGGCACAGCCGTCTTCAACGCTGGCTTTAGGGGAGGGTGCAGATTTCCTTGCTGCTGTATTGGGGGGTCCAGTCTTCCTCATTGCTGGTATGGTTTGGGGGGAGGGTGCAATCTTCCTCACCCCTGGGTTGGGGGTGGCACAGTCTTCCTCGCTACTGTCTTGAGGGGCGCAGTCTTCCTCGTCCCTTGTATGGAGGGCACAGTCTTCTTCACTCCTGTTTTGGAGGGGGGTGAAGTCTTCTTCACCCCTGATTTGGGGGGTACAGTCTTACCCCCCCCCCCCCTTTGTTTGGGGGGAACTCTCTTCCTCACTGCTGGTATGGGGGTATCGAGTCTTCCTCACAGCTGTTTTTATTGGCGTAAAGATGCAACATCCACCTCCGACAGCTGTATCTGAACAGAGACACGAGGTGGTAAAGAAACTAACCCCCTTTTCAGACTTAAAAGAAAAATAGGAGCGGGTGGGAGATCAAGCCTTTTTTTAAAAAACTGTTGTTGTTGTTTTTTCGAATGGAGGACAGGCCAGGCTGGACGAGAGTCTGGCAGTACAGTAGAGATACAAACACCTTGCACAAGGGGCCTCTGACAAACCACATGGCTGATGGTGTGGTTGGTGAGTTAATCACAGCTGCCTCTGGGCCCAAGAAACTGATGACATTGAATATTTTCCAAGTGTTTATTTATACACCCTATTTTTCACTCATCTCAGCAGGGTTTTCTTCGTCTCTATTTTAGGAATCGCATGTAAAACCGGCCGTTGCTCCTTCTGTTTGCTTCTTGTCGAAATTTGATTTTAGCAGCCATTTTTTTTTGTCCTGCCTGATTCTCCTTAAACGGCAATGAGATGCTGGAGAGAGGTTCCTGAGAGCCAGGTGTGTCGAGCGACTAAAAAAAAAAATCTGTTTTCCCCATGAATGCCAAAACGTACAATGGCGTCCTGCTGCTTCTGATGAAGGTTTCTTGGAAATCAAGCCCACATGAGCCTGTTTTTAACTGCTGCATCCCTGATGAGCTCTCTCTGCATAATCTCACTAGTTTCATTGCACATCTGTGATTTTGCTCATCAGCCCAGTGTAATGTTGCTCATCAAAGCGAGCCGAATAATCGGGCAAACATTTCAACAACCTTTCAAATACGAGACCGTGGAGACAAACGATCCCTTGAAACCCCTTTGGGTGCATTATAAATTCACTTAATTTTTATCCCTCTTTTTGTTTAAGTCACCCAGATCTTCGTCCTTACAGACACTGATTTCAGCACAAACAGACACAGGAAAAGAAACAGATTTTAAAACAACAGGGTTGCCTAATGGTCCATTTTCACTGAGTCCAGGCTTCCCAGCGCTTGGTTCACAATGAGCCATTACTGGCTGCTGTGCAGGCAAAGCTCAGCAGTGAAGGAGCTGGTCTGGTTGGACAGTGCGGCTGGTGAGCTGCAGCTGCTGTTGTTGTACCAACGTCAAGCCAGACCAGCTCACTGGCCATCTCTGGGCTGTCCTGATCCAAACATCAGCTCCTTGGGGGTTGCTGGCTTCTGTGCTAAAGCATATCTGTTTGTTTTTTTCTTCACTCCAGACCGTGCCGGATTTCCCATTAAGGCACTGTGCGGCCTACAAAACGTTTAGGGCCTACGAAGGAGGGAAACAGTAGTGACTAACGCAAAGCGAGCTGAAACAACATGCTTGCGATCGACTCCAGATCAATAATCCTACGCAATCTAGCGGCTGTTCTAGAAACTGGAAGCATCGAAGTGATGGTCGCTGGACTCGCTCCATCAATCACGGGGTTGAACGTTAGACTGGTTTAAAGTGCATCCTGTCCCTCGACGTCATTCAGTTGGCGTTGATGCCTCTCTGTGCATATTTCAGAGTGAAAGTGTCTGGGGCCTACGAACACCAAAATCCGTCCCTGACTCCAGATGCAAACAAGCTTATGTAAAACCCAAACGGACAACATGGGATCGGTCACACTAAAAATGACATGTTCCCCTTAAGTGTTCCTTAAGTTTCAGCTTTCAGCTCACGATCACAATATGTAGCCACGAACAGGTGTCTTCATTGGGACACTCCTCTTGTACTCCAAGTTAGTGATGGTGTTTGGTTTGGGTTGTTTTTCTTTTTTAGCCTCACATTTTGGAATGTGTCTATCCAGCAGTGATGCAGAAAGATGTTTCGGTATGGGAATGCACACAATTATGTCATGTATTCATATAAGATAAAAAGACACGTAGATCATGACAGACACTGTGCACCTGGTTGCCTTCTAAATTCAGTCACATTGTAATTGAAATATTCAAACTACAAAGTTATGTATGTTGAATGTGTGCCCTTTAAAAGACACTGGAATAACTAGTCTCTTGAGTATAGATGCATCAATGTTACCCATACAGATTTAGGAATTGCCAGATATTAGCTGATTTCTCATCTTTATATGCAAAATCTTTGCAGCCCTTAAGAAGTCATCAGGCTGTCCAGACAGGTAAAAGCTAGTAAATGAGCATTAATATACGAGAAAAATGATGTCACACAAAATACCTTTAACTTCCCCAATTTGTCACTTACTTCCCTTTCAAAACTTGGTGAATGTGGCTATGTAAGGCTTTCTGAAGCAAGTCTTAAAAGAAATAGATGAATAAGTCGAAATGTAAAAATGACAACAAGGTGACAAGCATCTTGGTTAGATTTCCTGTTGTTTGTAAGGAGCAGGAGAGATTAAACTCATTGAAGAAACTGCTAATATTGCTGAATGTGGATTTTTAATTGTTTTTAACAAGATCATCACTGAGTGCTAATGAAACCAGCTACACACAACAGTTTATTGTGTTATACCAAAGCAGAGTAAGACTGTGGGAAAAGCATGGTACAGAATGCAGAGATATGGTACATCATGTCACAAGCCATGAAAACCCAAGGTTGAAAAAGAATATTAAAAAGCAGAAGGAAAACTGCAGAACATACCACACAAGTTTACTGTAGTAAACTACTTACTGATTACTTTACATGTAAATTACTTCTCAATAAACAAGGTGAGATGAAGGGCTCTCTCACAGTAAATGTCAGACAGTCCCACTATGACTCCTGTGAAAGTTAACCAAGATGAATTAGTGTCATGGTCCATTTACCATGCTTAAATTATAGTGGCTTTTTTGTCTTCTTACTGTTGCTTTACCATACCTTTCTGTTGTGTACCTTTCTATGACTATGGATTAGAACTATGTGTAACTGCTGATTGCTTTACTTTTCATTAGTGCACTATGGTGAACCTCTATACAAGAGACTGTAGCAACCAGAGGCTGATGGGCTCTCAGTGAGGATGTTTTTGGAAATGCTACTGCAGTGAAAGTGTAGTCGAAGGTTCTGTAGTTCAGATAAGCCTGTTTCTCACTGGGGAGCTATAGAAAACTCATCATCTCCAGATGTGTGTGTTTATTTCCAGATAAACCAACCTGCAGCAGCTGTGCAGCTACGGGTTCAGTCAAGAAAAAGTCAGCTTTGTACATTCTCATGGTAAAAAAGAGAAAACTTTCACTTCTGCCTTGAAATCTATAGCTTTAGAAAGAAAAGAGATATTTCTACTCCCCCCAAAAAAGAGCACAGGAAATGGTCAAACAAAATACAAAGCTGTTTTTTTTTTGTTTTTTAACCCAGCTTAAAAAAGGAGGAGGAGAATGCAGAATATCCCAAATAATGAAGTGTTCCAGAAAATGACTTAATCTGCTCATGAAGGTGAACATTTGCTACACACACCAAATCAAATATTTATTTTTCTGCTGAATTTTGTCTCATTGAAGAACTTTAAAAAAATTGAAGGTGCCTTTTTACTGCTACTATCAAAAGAGATCTGTTGTTCCCATAAAGTTCTGATTGTATATCAGACATATTTACAAATATCAGGTTATTAAAAGGTGTGGATTTGCCCGTGCATAATGTTATTATATAAAGGTTATTGTACTCTTTGCAAAATACAAAAATAAGTCTGCATGAAATAACAACACACAACAAGTCACTTCGATGCTACCAGTGGGTCACTGTAAAGTTTATATATGAAAAGCTTTTGTGTATTGCTGTTCTGCAATTCCTCTCACAAGACAGGAATGGATTTACACCTAAATGCAAAAAGAGCTAGAATTTCCCAAACTGGCATGGATATTAGGAAGAAAAGGGGAAGAAAAATTATTTAGACTATACGGAATATATCCATTTCATTTTCCAACGTTATGCCTCAGAGGTGCCCGAATATGTTTTGAAGGCCCTGTATTCAAACTGTGGAACACTAGACCATTGTGTTAGAGTTCACAGTAGAATAGTCTGCACTCTCCGATCCTCTCTGGGCACCAGCCTCTCACTGACAATGGCTGTTTATGAACTGACAGTAAACCGTGGAGAAAAGGGAATCACATAAGAAAAAATACTGATAGAGAAGTACTAGAATTGCTTTTGGAATTGCTGGATGCCAGGTTTGCAGGCATTTTAGAGGCCAACGTAAATGCAAATCAAGCAGAACTCTATTTCGAAAATGTAGAATGCCCTTAGGGTCATTCTGCAAAAGCACGTTTTAACCTGTTCCATGTATGTGTGGTATTTTACCATTTTAATGAGGAATTACTGGCGACAAGAATTGTTTTGGAAACCTGTTAAAGTTAAAGCAGCAATTTCCTTGTACTGCATAAAACAGATAAAGCTCAGTCTTTGCTGTTTGTTTGATAGATGCTTATCTCTGTCCACCTCATTGAGTGAACAAAGGGGTGTCTCTGATGTGAACAAATGTATTCATCTTCCACAAGCCCCACATGTTATTCAGCATTGACAAGTGTTTACATTGGCAGTTTTTTTTTTCTTTAATGAGGATACAAGGTCATTTACTGGTGTTCTATTGGTTTTTTGTAGCTCTGTGAAACATTTTTGCTACATTGTGGACGTGACCAGAATGTCAGGCAGGCAGGTCAGGAATTCTCCGCTGTATGTTTTACAGCTCCCTACACGCACCAAACGGTTGCACACTCTGATGCACCGCGTAGTTTATCGAACCATGAAGAATAAAACCTTCTGCTGCTCCTTATTCAAGTGGTGTGCTCACACCTTCCATCCTCTAATGCCGGATGACAAGCTTCAAACTCTCAAAAAAGATTTTGTTGTCCTCAGAGTTTTTTTTCCCTGATGGCTTCATGGATACCCATAACAGAGCGCTGATGAAAGCTGTGGAGTTTATATTTGTGATTTTCCACTGTACCTATGGCTTTAACATGCCCATACTGTGTTTGGCTGCACTGTTACACTGCACTGTGAGACTCCCCTGCATTGTACGTTACCTGTTGGCTCCCAGTAATGGTCACTACAGTGTTCCTGTCATTTAATCCTTAATTTGATAAGTAAGTCAACTGAAAACACATTTTCATTTTCAATGATGGCCTGCAGGCCCATTTATAGGGCTTGAGATTGCATTGCAGCAACCTGAGTGAAGTACCTTGCTCCAGGGTAACACAGCAGTGTCGCACCTGGGATTTGAACCCGCAAAACTTCTCTTCAGACCACCGTAGCCACCAAGATGCTGCCCTCATGGCTCATCATGTTAAACCCTCAGGAAAACAGGGCAAAAGAGGGCAAAGCCATACTAAAAAGTGGGAGCCTTCCTTGACGATTCCTCATTAACGAGGAAGATCAAATTCTAATTATGCATTTCTCTCTGCTGGTTGCTATTTAAGGGCAGCCAATGGGATGAGCAGACAATGCAACAATGCTCATACACACACTCACTGGCTCATGTACAGTCGAACACTGACACACACATTTTAGAAGAAAGAGGAACTAGGAAACTCTCTTTCAGATTCGGTTCCTCCATCTGGTTGCTCTGCACCAGTGTGAAGGTACTGACTCCTCATGCTGAGTTCTGGGTTGAGCACTTACAATAGTGTGGTTAGGGGCTGGTGCACATTTCTGGGATGAAGCACAAAAGTGGTTTTATTTGGTGCGAGCAGGGAGGAGGGGGGAGTGGCGGACCGGGGTCGATCAGTTCCTTGTGCATCAGAAGACCTGAAGGCACCTTTGTTTTCAGCTGCCTCTCCAGGTGCTTTGCCTGGCAAGAGTCCTCAGTACCACCAGTCTGTTGCTGACGGGACACTGACGCAGAGATCTGCCACCACAAGCCTATTGCAGACAGTGCAAAAGACAGTGCAAATTTGCTGCATAGGAATTAAACAGACACCTCGCTGCCTTTGAAATGAAAACAAATGTGAATTATTATTATTTGGTTTTATCTGAAGAATCAGATTTAAAAAAAAACAGATATTATTGGAAACACCTGCCTCAGTAACCCTGGAATTTGGATCGTCCAGTACCCCCAAATCTGAGGACAGCAGTGTGCACTCTGAAGCACACCTCCCTCCAGTTTACACCAAATAAAATTCCCAGACTTCTCCAGAACTCTACAGCTCAAGTTGCGCTCATCACCATGGATGTCATCATATGATTTATTTATTTTTGCCAGTGCCCACGTATTTTATGTCTAGAAAAAACTAAATGTTTTCCAATCGTAATTGTAAAATTATTTTACCTTTGCAACTTTGCACACCTTGCACTGGGATGGTGTCCTGGGAGCACCGTTAACGGCACCGTTAATTAATCATGGGGGCAGAATGTGAAAGAGGGTTTAAGGTGGGAGACAAAGTGCGTCCTGCTGGGAACTCAGCTGAGCATGGCATTGTGGGAGCTGACGTCACTGTCATGTGGTGGCGGGAGCACAGCTGTCAAAAATATCTGACACACACTGCAGATCGCAGCTCTGTCCCCTCTGAAAATGCAGAATATCTACAGACCATGCATAAAATGTAGATTTGCATTCTCTAAGAAATATGCAAGCCCCTTTTTTATCTTTTTTTAGACATGATCACACAAAGTAGAAGAACTGTGCATTCAACAAGGAAGGCAGGTCAGGAATTCCCTATGTAGGAATTACAGCGTGTTCAAATCCACATGAATATTTGTAGGGTTTTTTTTTTGCGTGTAAGAAAGTGAAATATCATGCATGTCATGCATATCTGCACTTACGTTTTCCCAACAGCTTTGTGTTGCGGAGTCCTTCCTGTAAGCTCAGGAAGTTCGTTACATCTGCAGATGTGCTCCGTCTTACGCAATTCCTCCCAGGACTGCTCTGGCCTCCTTCGACGTACAGGAGCTGAACAGGGCAAGTGATGTGGTCAGCTGTGGACAAGCATGACCAGACTGTGCTGCACAATTAGCCCGAGAAGACTTTTCAGATATTTGTTTGCCTTTTGGTTGTTGGGTTTCACAGCTGCAAGTCTGCTGCACAAGAAAAAAAACTTTCTCCACCTCCATCTGCACTGCTTATTAACAAGAGCAATGCAGGAGTCTTTACTTACATCCATTATTCCATTATTTGTGAAAGTAAAGCTGCATTACAAAGGATGCATTAACAGTTTGAATAATCACCGGTATCTGTTTAGTTACATTTCTTTAAAAACTTACATGTGTTTATTAATGTATTTTGTTTTTCAAAAAAACATTTCATTTGTAAAAACACCTTATAAAATCACTAGAAGCAGCCATAAGAAGCTGACAGTCCTGCAAAATATTCAGAGAATATACTTTAAGCCCAGTTTGCCACCTGGCCGTACATACAGAAAACAGCCTGTCAATATCTATACTGCGGAGTAGGGATTCTGGACACAAAGGAAATACGCAGCGTTATATCTGATGGATGTTTTTCCGACGAGACTAAGAAATTTCCAAAGGGACTTTTTAAAAAAGAATAAGGCATGCACTGCAATTGCAGAAATCATACTGGGGTTCTCCAAGCACAGGCTTAAGGAAGCAGACAGGATCTGAATGCTGATGGCACTCATGGCTGCTGTGCAAGAGCCTCAGGTGACAGTTAGGATTTCTGCTCCTGTCTGCTGCCTGATTTCTCCATCTTTGTCATCTTGAGTGGACAGCCTCTACGGACATTTCCATCGCTTACACAAGGCCATTGAGAAACACTGGTGCTCTTGCTGAAACGACAATGGGAGGAAAACCCAGAGCAAGCAGAATGGGATGTTTCCAAACACAAACGGGGATGGAATGCAAAAACGTGGTTAACTTACACCCATACAGCAAAACAAGAAACTGTTTTTTTCAGCCATGCATACAAGCTCACTGGGCAGAATATTAAGGAACCCAGTGTCATTCCCCACGAGTTATGTGTTAGGGCAGGAAGAGCTGGATCAGGAGATAGCATGTAATCCGCAAGATTTTGAAATGTCTGCAGCACCAATCCCAGTGAACAAGCATAAAAACTGAAGGAAATCGATGACATGTTTTAACATGACAGTATGATCATGAAATGGAGGAAATCTTGTAGGACATATTTTAAAAATACAAAATTGCATTGCAGAGACTGCAAGAGATGCAATGCAAGTCCTGTGGTGTCTGAAAATAACACAGAATTTTGTATTGAAATTGTCAGTTTTATAGCCTGTGTATGTCTGATTTATTGACTTCTTTACACAAATCTTATGAGAAATATAATAACAATTGCCTTTATATGGTCCTTTATCCTCTAATAGGGTCCCAAAGGTCTAATAGTTATAGGAAGTTCTAAGTTAGGTTATATTATTTTTGGCGTGATGAAGTAAATATAGTAGTGTTTCAATGAGCCCAGATAGAGAAGCTCTGATCACCAAGAAGAATTTGGGACACAGCTTTAAATTTAGTCTAAAGAAACGCAGGGGTCTTGAGCACTAGCGATTTATTAATTTGATGAGCTCAGTGTTTTTCTCTTCCACTGACAGCAGTGTGATTTTGGGGTTTCTGCAGCAGTGTCTCTGAAACCAGGCTGTAAACTCTACAGGGCTCCAGTGACACTAGTTTATACTCTAAGCAGCACAGTTTAAACCATTAACATTATTTCTTCTGAAGGTCTACATGAATCGCAAACCGATGAACAATGACTTGGGTATATACAGCAGCTATAAAACAATCTGAATTCATTTTCAGTTTTAAGTTTGAACTTTTTACACCTTTCAGCGACAGGAACAGCGAATGTGTGATCTATTTATTTCTAGCTTGAGCTCAGCATAGGATGATATTTCTATATGTAAAAATGTTTAGTGTCTGCGCCAGGCTTTTAAAGATTACTTTTGCAAATAATGTGCGTGTTTTCTCCTGCATACCTCTAGGCAGAGAATTTGGTTTATAACAGAAAAAAACACAAATACAGAAAACCGAGGGAAGAGTCTTCTCATCTGCTTTGATAAACTGTCACAGAAGAGGAAAGCTTCTAAGTCAATTGAAGTCCATCATATCCTCAGCTCAACAGTTTTAGGGCATTGTAAATGAGAAATTCTGTGTTGTAATATACACATTCAGTAGTGTGACCAAATTTAGGGCCAGGGCATCATTGAGCTTCTTGACTTCTGAGTCTTATTAAGAAGAATGGGAAGAATGCGAAATGCCATCCTCTGCAAACTACCAAAAAGGGTAAGTTTAATTTTTTAATTTTCATAAGTTTAAAAAAATATGCTTCCAAATTCTCTATGGAAAATTGTAGAATATTAAGTAATCAAGTTTGCAGACTGAGTAAATCTCAGTTATCAAAAAGAAAGAGGTTTTGCAAAGACTTGTGGACTGAGCCTGCAAAAGTCCCTAAAGTGGCTTTAGGATCTTTGATCCAATGGTACTTCAAAGTTTTCTGTTTTCCACTCACTCTCACGAATATGGTTAAGAATCTAAAGCAAGATTGGCTCAATTCTGATTAAAAGGGCGATAGGGTAATAAAAAAAAACCTTTAGCCTACAGTTAGGATGCTATATATAAATGTATGTGTGTCAATAACAGTAAATGTGTGTACATATACAGATATATATACACTGTACGTGTGACTGTGTCTTATCTGACACCACCAGATCTTTAGATTATTATTTGAGGCTGATATGCTTGGAAATTAATTATAAAGTGAGGTTGTCTCACTCTTACCAGTCCATTAATGGACTAAACAGCAGCAATGTCGAAGACAGTCTTTTCACACCTCTGAGTACCACTGACGTGGGCAGAGTTCCATCACACCCATCTCTCAGCTGACGCCCGCTCTCACTTCAAACTCTCCAGCACAACGGGGACCTGCCACGAGGCTGGTGTTTTCATTTTTCGGTCATTTTCTTTTCAGTTATGCATGCCTAACAGTCCCTTAACATCCTGCGTGCGTGCGGGCGCTGATCTCAGGATGTTGTCCCGCTGTCTTGGGGCCGAGACGGAGGTTCATGTCAACACGTGGAAACATACAGCTTCAAGCTCCATCGTTTATTCGCCGCGGCTGGATTTTCGATTCTAATAAATGCTGCCCTCTTCCTCGAGACTAGTACTTGCTGCTCAAGGATTGATTGCGTGTCACACTTTAGGGAAAGAAATTAAGCTTACCGTGGGATTGTTAGAAATTAAGGCTTCTGAAATCTCACCACTTTCCAGTCATTATACATGTTGGAAGACTGACAGCCTGCTTATCACCAAAGAGTGGGCAGACAGCCATCAACGTGAGTCTGGAAGACAAGGGGGTTAACCTATGTACTGTAGGTCATGTAACATGAAAATTGAAACTAAACTAAACTAAACTTTTAACATTGATGAGGTACATGTTTTTGCAGGTATCTCCAATACGTTCGTTGATCTGGAGCGATTTTTCTGCAACGCATCTATTATTTTTGATGATGACAGGGGATGATGTTCAACCAGAGGACGTCAGGGCTCTCAGCGAGACTCAGTTGCAAGACTGCTCTCTCCCTCCGCACCTGTTTCTTACAGTCAATGGCACGACCCCTCAAGCGTGCACAGGAAGGGTTTTTACTTTTCCCCCACCAGCCACCTGACAGAGTCAGAAGGAAACGCGGCGGGGAGCCCTGCCGGAGCTCTTCTCTGGCCTTGCGCCGCAGTATACACACCGCTCTGGAGGAAATAAACGCGCGCCCTTCGGTCTCGGAACTGCACCCGACTCGAATCATATCCACACAGACCGCTTGCTAATTTCAGTCTCGTTTTATTACCGCTGCGCGTGTATTTTTTTTTTCCTGACGCACAGTCTTCCTTTTTTGAAGGACAGAACACAGCAGTCGGTGCTCATTGACGTTTTGCAAGAGCGGAGCTCAGCCTGCAGGCGCTCCACGTGTTGTGCCCCGGCTCTGCTGTTCTGGGCTGGAGGCCATGCTGGTCTGTTGAAGGGAGCTGAATGGCGGTGCGCTGGCTCCAGAGATCACTCTCGTCGTTCCCCGCTTTCTGCCGTCCAGTCCGGGCACCTCAGCGGGAGTCGAGCGCCTGAGACCCCCGGATCCTAATGCACAAGCACTTCCATTCTTCAGCAAAACCTTCCGAGATCTCATGTTTTAAAACGGCGCCTTGTAAAACTATGACAGCGGTTGGGTTTTTTAAAGGGTGAAAATGATTTCAGTTTAGGAAACACGGCATACCCGCTCCATATTTGTGCTCCAGTAAGACATTTAAAAAGTTAGATTGCGGTACTGGGGGGATTTATAAATTCTTTATAACCTCAAATAATTTAAGATGTATTCAATATCGCAATACTGATATTGATGGAGATCAACTACCCAGACATCGGAGCATGATATAACAACAGGATGGCTGTTCTCATACCCACCAGTGCTTTGTTAATGACTCAGGTACTTCATTATACATTTGTATGATTTTTTAATTTTTTTTTGGAGAGCCTAGCCGTTTGCTTATTTTCTCATACATCGGACCAGGGCCCCGTGTCGTGCGAAGAGGGAGAGAAAGAGCTCTGATTCAGAATTATTCACGCCGCCTCTCACAAGATAAGTCATGTGGCCCTGCTCCGTGGGATGTCCGGTGTTTCGGGTTGACAACACCGGCCTCCCAGCGGCCCGACACGCGTGCGGCCGAGGGAGCGGGAGCGCGCCCGCGCCAGCCCCTGCACGCGCGCGCGCGCGCGGGGAAGAGACCGAGAAAACAGGAAACAGAACGAGCCGCAACCGGAAGTGTTGCGCTCATGTTGTTTATCAGCCTTTCTGCTGAAGGGGGGTGATTGTTGGTCAGTTACAAAATACAGCATAACCTCCGCGATGTTCGGTCGGAGGCTCCGCTGTAAAACGCTTCTAAAGCAAAGAACAACAACGGCACAAAGGGAAAAGGCAAAACACTTTTCATTAGACGCGTCTGTACAACCACCAGCCTTAGTTTTTTTTTGGTGATGAGTAAGGGTTCGTTAGTGTACGAAATCCGCTCATTTTCAGAATGGCGATAGACACATGAATGGTTGAAAATATATGCTGTCCCAAACCTCTTAAAAAATAGAAACCCTGGCAGGTTATGCTGTATCGAGCCCCTTAGTCATCTTACAATAAACTGTAACTAGAAACCTCTCGGTAGATGCCTTAACTGCACGTATTAAAGCTAATATTTACCAAGAAATTATTTATGCTTACAGCCCTGTAAACATTTGAACAAATACATAGTAATCACAATACCACAAGTAGAAGTGTGAAATGGACACGAGACTTTCGTGTAATGATGTGACGCTCCTCTGTGTCAACCAACCTCAGGTCTACAGGCTGGTCTTTAAAGACTGGTGAATACTGAATATCCTTAAAAGTCTTTAAAGGCCCACCAGCTCCTGCCTTACCTTTGAAACGCGAGGCCATGCCTTACCTCGCCTGGAACCTCCTCTTAGACTGACTATCTTTTCTTTTAATGAAGCAGATTTCGAGGACGCGCCTTATTTTTATTGCCTGCGCTGTTAGCAGCTCTTTAAACCGAATTGCGACGGGTTGCAAAAGAGAGAGCAAATCTGGACAATTGTAAATCAAACAGGGAAGTCAATAAAGTGAACACAAAAACTTCCTTTATTCACCCATTCAAGTTGGTAATTGAGGGTTTTTTTTTTACATTGTTGTACTGATAGGAACCAGGCCATAATTTACAGACTTCCCCAAATCAACAGGTTAAAATATGGCACACACAGACACTGAAAGAAAGAGAGAGAGAGAGAGAAAGAATGAAAATTGTAACCGAAATGAATCACTCAGTGACATGCGGCGTCGGAGCAGCTGGAAGGAGGCAGCGCGAGCGGAAGACCCGGCGCTCCTCGCGGACCCTTCACCCCAGATGACCGCCGGGCGCCCAGGGGACACCAGTTTAAATTTAAAAACAAAAAAGATGTGTACCCGTGTGTATTTCTATCCAAAAAAATGTGCCCTGTTTCGATAAGAAGGGTGGAGTGACTCAATGACATGACATACGTGCGTGTGCAGTTTTAAGAGCAGGCTACTCTTTTGAAATGGTTGAATCATTGACAAGCTTAAATGTAACTCGGATCATCGGAATTCTGACGTTTAGGTAGGATTTAAAAAAAATAATAATAAACTAGGGGATTTTTTTTTTCTTGTGGTTGTTGCTATTTTATGTCTGGTTCCGTAGAATAGCAGACCGCGCTTTGGAAACCCGCTGTACCAAATCGGCGAGCATTTCACTCGACGCTGGAGGGTGAAATCGTGCCATCCCGCAATATCTGGTTCAAGCAGTTTGATCAGTCGAACCCCGCACATGCTTGTAATATTAGAGCCTTTATTATTTTAAAATGCATTTTCTACGCATTTCCTTTTTTCCCCCTGCAACATATAAGATGATTCTATTTTATTTCCTAAAGACTACTCTTTGAAAAATAAACTCATGCTAAACGATGTGAGTTCACGTTTAGAAAAATCATACAATACAAAAGTGTAATATGTAGTTATATGCATACTTATACTTAAGTTATCTGCATACTTATACTTCAAATGAGGTCTGCTTCTGCTCCTGAAAGTCGGGTTAACCATACAAACTGGTCAATGCTTGGAATGACAAAGGTCTGTCTTTTCGAGATGCAAACTGTGCAGCCCATGCGAATTACGAACGGCTGTGTACGGAGCGCCACTCAAACGGAGCCACCCGAGTTCTCAGGCCCTTGACTCTGCGGCTAATAACTTCACACGAGCCGCCGGTGTGCCCGCTATTTTGTGTGGAATTGATGTGATCCTTTCAGGTTGCAGTAGGTCATTGTCGTTTTTCGGGGAGAAACTGAACGCGAAATCCTGGCGGGGGGTCGCTATAAGGAGGGGGCGTGCGCACCCCACGCGCTTTGTCCCCTCGGCAACTCTTTTTCACGCGGCTTCTGTCTCCTTGAATTCCGAGGGCTCTGACTCCTGGGGGGGCCACATCATAAACTCATGCACACCAATCATCTAAGTACGCGCACTATAAGGAAGGTGTCACTTGAAACGTGTGACTGGACGACGGCAGAGAGAGAGAGAGAAAATCGCTACACTGTAATTTCAGGGGGGGTTTTTAAATAAAAAATTCAAACCCAAACAAATCTACCAGAGCCCCCCCGCCTGGAATTCTACGGTTAAAAATTGGACAAGCACCAGATATCTCGACATGCGGCGAAGCCATCTTTCAGGACGAGATTGAGACGTGTAGGATGGAAACCGGATAGTCAAACCTTTCACTTCTTATTTCTGATTCCCTATTTTTCCAGTTCAATATGTGTATGACTGCGTGGTGGACCGCGGTTCCGAGCCACAGCAGGGGATAAAATTAGATCGAGCTCGGTTTGAGTCACACAAGCTCTGTCATTCACAGAACCGGGAGGGCTAACAAGCTTTTGCCCGTGTTTTTTTTTCCCCAGGCAGGACAGCTGCCACCGAGATCTGGATTAGAAAACACCTAAAGGTCGTACGTTTCACATATTTCCCATTCGACATTGCTCCTGCAAAATATCCTTGCAAAACAATACACTGCACAATAGGTAATATGTTTACCGGCACAACACGGACTTTAGTTAGCTGCTGCTTGCTTTAGAAAAGATTACTAGTACCAACCCTGACAAAGGTTCAGTGAAATGGTGGCTCTTAACATATTACGGTACAATCTTATCATTTAGTTTAGTTGGGATAAGCGTGTAACCAGTTCACATTAGTGCGGGTTATCACTGGGGGTATACGGTTCTCTTAACGTGACGGGTTCTGTTTGCGGGGCCGTTCTTAATAGACTGCGCAGTCTTGGCTGCCAACATGAACAAGAAAACTCATTTCTGAATACAGGATTTGTTATAATGTGTATTCATACTGGCCCAGTAAGGAAGTTTATTTAAAAATAAATAAATCAGAAGCGGTGTATTGTGGAAGAAAGCCACTTATAGTTTGCTTGTACAGTCACAGTCTGAAATTCATCTTGTGATTGACAGTAACAGATCTGATCTCTTCACATATCGCATCCAAGTTCTCCTGATAGCTTGTGCAGTAACAGTGTAGATGCTGTTTCTCTACTAATTAGAGGGATGGAGGCTTCAATTCGTCGCAATCCGTGTGCTATAGTACCTACAGTTATACTGTATGTTACAGGCCTGTTTGTACCTTGGCGTGACTACTTCAGTACGCAGTGCCGGATGACACTGACAATGTCGTTTTGGGATGTCAGTTCTCGAACTGGTTAGTGCAAAGCTGTGGATACATCGGGGTCCCGCTTCTACACGGTACCCCCAATACTGTCAGCATCAACAGAGGGGTCACGCCACCGCGGTTTTTGCGCATGCGCCATATAGGGCCATGAAATGGCTGTCGACAATGTTTGCAAAACCAGCCTGACGGCGGCAGGAGCAGTGGGATGGAAGTCAGCTAATGATATGTTAATTTAGGATTTGCTCATGGCCGGTGATGAAAGCGACAGGAACGTCGCCATTGGCATCTTAAGCAAGAAAATAAATTTACCAATTGACAAATACCAGCCCTCTTCCCCTTTTCGGAGCGCTGAATTTTCCCCACCGTGGAAAAAATAGAACTATCTTTAGGCCCTTGTGAGCTTTTCTTAGTCCCTCATTTAGATCTCAGGTTTTTTAATACACTGTGCATCTGCAGAGGGGAAAAAGCACTACGACGCTTCACAGATACGAAGGCGATGGGTCGATCCAAGCTTTTTAAATGCTTAACAGAGGGCCCCATCTTGGTTTGAAACCCTAGTGTAACGACCAAAGGAAAACGGATTTTGAACACCACGGATTTTCAAACAGAAAATGAAACAACGTTTCACACAATTCGCCGCTCTGAATGTACGGACTGAATCCCTCAGGCTGTGACTTTCGGAGAGGTCCCTGTTACTTCTCCTTGCTGACTGTCTATTTCTCCTCTGATCCGATATAAAATCCTTATTTTTCCTTATTTAGTCCCACCCCTTCGTGGGCTGTCACCCACCTATGCTGGTACCAGATACCCAGAAACTTCAGAAACACCCCCAGGAGTCGCCTCAACTCAAGTAGGAATCGCCACCCTGTATTGAACAGGATTTATCTGCGTGATTTCTGTGGCGTTTCGTTTCAGTCACTAGACACAGTACTTCCAGCCTCTTCAAATTTTTGTACCCTTTTCTGGTTTTAGTATTACGGTATATCACATAATTAAATTAACTTCTGCCCTTTGTCCCCCCACGACTTTACATATTTCGTACTGCTGACATTTTACGGCTTGTTGGTTGTACGTAAGAGTCCTTGAGGGGGGAAAAAAGACACATTACTGGCGAAGAGTTTGTCTCAGATAGCAGTGGTTATGTTTCAGCTGGTTTGCAGTCTGTCTTCCGAGATACTTTGGGGGGGCTTTGCGTTTGTACAGTAGGTGACGGTGCGAGGGCAGGTCGTGGACAACAGCAGAAAGGTGGTGTCTGTGGTCCAGCAGACGCGCCTCGCATCGCCTGCTGTCGGGTTTTCAAAATCAGACACCCCGCCACCTCCTCCGCTGTCAGGAGCCCACTCTCCAGCCGCGCATGGCCCCGCTCCCCTGCTCCTGCGACACACGCCTGACCACATCACAGGCGGGATCCGCTGAGCCCACCCCGTATCTTCAACAGTCAGTCCCTGTCACCCTACAACAGACCTTTATCTATTACAGCAAGTTTCCTGTCAGCTCCGCCCGCAGGAGCCGCAGGGGCGGCATTTGAACAGAAACAGGCAACACACACCAGGGAGCGTGTTTTAATCAGTCCCCTGGAAGAGGTAACAGGGCAGAGTAGGGGGGGCGGGAGGAGCTTGGGGGCAGAGATATACGGCTCTGAACCATTAGCACTGTATGTGATTTTTCGGAATCTCAGAACCGTCAGATTTTCGTATTTGATTTATTTTGTGCTCCCCTCAGCATCAGGTACCGTATCTCGTTTAATGCAAGGATAATGCTTAGTGGCTTTATTTGTTCTGTAATCATTAAGCATTTTCCTTGCTTAGTCTACAGTTGCTATAGACTAAGGGCACCTTCCGCGTGGAGTGTACACGCCCCCCCCCCGGCTGTGTGAGTGTCCTCTGGGTGGCATTGAAGGCTTTGAGTCCCAGTGAAGGGTTAACGAGGGTCGGTCCCAGTGAAGGGTTAACGAGAGTCAGCACAGGGAACAGAGACGGTGCAGAATCCGTAAGGTGTGTGAATGTGGCGGTGTGGCTACTGTGGTTCACGGGCAGAGCTTGTCTTAAGGAAAAGTGGCTTCACTCCCGCCCTGCCTACTTCTGCGCAGAGGTGTGTATGTGTGTTGGAGGGGGGATTTCCAAAGATCGCCCGGGTGCGCAACAGCCAGATCTTTAAACTTTGCACTAAAGCATAGTCAGCTTTATAGCCACACAAGCAAAAAAAGGTTCAAGCAGCGCTGCAAAAAAAAAAAACACCAAGCAGGCAACTTAGGAAAGTTGTATCTCTTGCAGTAAATCTGTATCTCTTCCAGTAAATGCCCAGTTTCTCTCTACATTGGAGAAACAGGAAGGAGACTCGGAGACCGCTTCAGAGAACATGTCAGGGCTGTGAAGATTAAAGATCTCTCCAAGCCCATT